CGACTCATCCCGTTTCTCTGCCTGCCCGCAGGCTGCCTTGGGCGTCACGCGAGACGGCGCGCCGTATTGTGTCGGACATGCTTGACCAAGGGGTCATTGAGGAGTCCACCAGTCCTTGGTCAGCTCCAATAGTCCTGGTTGCCAAGAAGGACGGTTCGATGCGCTTTTGCGTAGACTATCGCCGGCTGAACGATGTCACGGTCAAGGATCCGTACCCATTGCCCCGGGTCGATGATACGTTGGATGCTCTAGGTGGGGCCCGGTACTTCTCCACGCTTGACCTTTGCTCTGGCTACCATCAGTTGCCCATGAACGACGCTGACCGCGAGAAAACTGCTTTCTCCACGCCTGACGGTCACTATCACTTTAACGTCATGCCGTTCGGGGTCTGCAACGGACCGAGTTCTTTCCAGCGCCTCATGGGTGCTGTACTCCGTGGGTTGCAATGGCAGATATGTCTCGTCTATCTTGATGACATTATCGTGTTTGCAAGGACCTTTACTGAGCACCTCTGCCGGCTCCGCCAGGTGTTCTCCCGGCTGCGTTCTGCTAACCTCCGCCTGAAGCCATCGAAGTGCTTCCTGTTCCGCCCCGAGGTTGAATTCCTCGGCCATGTGGTGTCCGACAAGGGCGTACACACCGATCCCGCCAAGGTCGCCAAGATTGTGTCTTGGTCGGAGCCGCAGTCCAAGCCTGAGGTCCGCGCATTCTTGGGTTTCTGCGGGTACTACCGCCGCTTTGTACGTGACTTTGCTTCCGTGTCGAAGCCCTTGACCACTCTTACGCGTGATGATGTGTCATTCTCTTGGACACCCCAGTGTACTGACGCCTTCCGTCACTTGAAGACCGCCCTGTCTTCCGCTCCTGTTCTGTTGTATCCCCGCTTCCAGCCGGATGCACCCCGTTTCGTGTTAGATGTTGATGCCAGTGGTGTTGGTTTGGGAGCTGTGCTCTCCCAGGCCGATGAAGAAGGTCGTGAAAGGCCCATTGCTTTCGCCAGCCGTTTGCTCTCTTCCACTGAACGTCGCTATTCCGCCACTAAGCTTGAGCTGCTTGGTGTTGTCTGGGCTTTCGGCCACTTCCGCTGTTACCTCTTGGGCCGCCCGTTCTTGGTTCGCACTGACCATCGTGCCCTTCAGCACCTCTCTACGTTTAAAGACCCATCTGCCATCATTGCTCGGTGGTTGGAATTCCTCAGTGAGTTCACCTATGAAGTGAACTACCGCCAGGGTCGTGCTCATGCAAACGCTGATGCTCTGTCCCGTCAGAGTGCTCCTCGTCAGTGTGTTGCCTCTGTTGCAGAGCCCCCCGTGCCTCTGCCTACGCCGTTTGTTCAGCGTCGCCGCTGGGCACCCGCTGACTGGGCTGCCGCTCAGTCCGTCGATGAGGACTTGGTTCTCTTCCAGTCCTGGCTCAGGATACACCCGCCTCAGTGCCTGCCTTCCTTCAATGGAGTCAGTCCTGACCTGCATGCCTACTGGCGTGCCCGAGACCAGTTCTTCATTGAGCATGGTGTGTTGTGTCGCCGGTTTGAGGATGACAACCCATGTTCTGAGCCGCTTACGCAGATCCTTGTGCCTCGGCACCTCCGTCCTGAGATCCTCCAGGAGTACCACGACTACGCCGGTCATGCTGGTGTACACCGCACATGTGGTCAACTCCGCCGACGCTTTCACTGGTACGGGTTGAAACGGGACGCTGAAGATTGGGTTGCGAGTTGTGAGTCCTGCAGCAAGAGAAAGAAACCAGTGCACAGAGGACGCGGCGCCCCGCTCCAGGTCACCTGGGCAGGCTCCCCGTTCGAACGAATCGCGATGGACCTGATCCCAGGTCTCCCAGAAACGGCTGGTGGGAATCGACATATCCTTGTGGTTGTTGATTACTTTACCAAGTGGGTGGAGGCGTACCCTTTGAAACGCATGGACGCTAACACCATTGCTTCGGTTTTCGTAAGTGAGTTCGTGGCGCGCTTTGGTGCTCCACAATCTTTGCATACGGATCAAGGCCGAAACTTTGATTCCGCGGTCTTCAAAGAGGTGTGTGCCCTCTTGGGGATCAAGAAAACGCGCACCACGGCTTACCATCCTGCCGGTGATGGTCTGGTCGAACGCTTCAACCAAACGCTGGAGGCCTTGCTCTCCCACTACGTGGCCAGTCACCAACGTGATTGGGACACGCAGCTGCCAGCCATGCTCATGGCCTACCGTGCCACCCCGCAGTCGAGTACGGGTTATACACCTGCTTACCTGCTCTTTGGGCGCGAGTTGTGTTTACCACAAGATGTGGCCTATGGCTTGCCTTCCGCTGACGCCGCTCGTGACGAGCCGTCCTATGTACAGACTCTCCGCCAGAAACTTGCGCATGCGCATTCCTGTGTGCGTAAGAAGCTCGCCTCAGTTCATAAGCACCAAGCCCGTCTTCACGACGCTGGCGCCGTCCCGGTGCGCTTCGCTCCTGGTGACCTCGTTTGGTTGCTGGTCCCCGCCGTCCCGGTCGGTACAGCACCGAAACTGTCCAAACTGTGGCGTGGACCCTTTACGGTACGAGACCGCCTATCGGATGTTGTCTACCGCATCCACACTACGTCTGGTTCTCGTGAGTGCTTCCAGGTGGTCCACGTGAACCGCCTGAAACGCTGCCATGTTCGTCCAGAGCGCTTGGCGACCATCGCTGAGATGGCCGAAGACAACACGTCTACTGAGGCGGCGGGCGATCTGCCGTCTCACTCCGTCCCTCCAGCCTGCCGTGCGTGGGGCACTTCTGCCACACGCCGCACTATGGCTGCTGGCCCCCGTGCTCGCCCACCGACCTCACCATCGTATGCGACAGATGCGACCGATCGTCTATATCATGATGACGTCGATGATAGCCTTGAGTCATTCCCGGAGCCTCGGCTCATGCCAGCCATTCCACAGCCACTGCCGCTTGCTGCCAATGTACCAGCAAGACCGTATCGCATCCGTCGCCCACCGGGTCACCTCGCAAATTTCGTCTGGGGTGCACGCTTTTGAGCTTCACCCAACAGCTAGTAGCTCTGTCAGTATCTGTTAACTAAGCCTCTGTCTCGTCATCAGTTTCCTGCACCAATCTCCCATCTCCTACTGCTACCTGCCTTCGAGTCATTGGCTCTGCTGTTCTACCACTACATCTCATCATTTCATCATACCATGCTGATACCATCACTCACCTATAGTACGATGACATGAACACCAGGACTCCATTCCGTGGCCTGCTGAGCCTCACCAAGTACCCGTCTTACCCAGCCATTGCCACCAGTTACTGGAGTATCAATATTTCTGCTATGTCTTCGTTGTCCGTCCACCCTGCCACTATAGCCGATTCCGTTTAGTGCTGCACTTACACTAGTACTGCTATGATGTCGTCTGTTCTCTACTACCCTGAGTGCACTGTTCCAGTCTACCATCTTGTACTGCCGCCATCTGCTATAGTGTCTACCGTCGAAGTACTGTCTTCCATGTGCCAAATAGTGTCTGCTTAACCATCGTCATGAGTACCGCCCGCACTGATCTCTGTCTGCTACCTGATGTCACCGAGTAAGACTGTCTATGTACGAACAATTGTGCCCTGTATCGTTAGTTCTCTACGTCTGACTTTGCTCCTAAGCCCACCTCTCAAGTACCTACTGAAAACTGTTACTCCGGTTCCTGTGCCTCGGGCACTGAACAATTACATAGTTTGTAGTTCCTCCTTATCTACCGGATGCTTAGCTTCTGATTGCTTCATGGCACTACTAAAAACTAAATAAAAATGTGCCAGTGGTTAGCCCCTTGACCATTCTTTTCTGTTTAGGCATAGCTCATCAGCACTCTTCCTGTCTTGCTGTTTTGATTCTGCTTCGTGCCTGTTTGCATTGCACATTTTTTTTTCTTTCTTTCCCTTTTTTTTCCCCCACAACATTAGAACCTGTTCGGAATGCCCCAGGTTGGTGCGAACATAGCCTACGAACTGTATTCCCCACTGTTAGTTGCAGCTTTAGCTTCCCCAGTTTAGTTTTGGTTCGCAGTCTGACGCTTTGTTCCCTTCTGCTCACACCCTCTTTGGAACTACTGCGATGTTTAGTTTTCTCTTATTTTAGCCCTTTTAAGTTGCTCTCTTGTGTTGTTTCTTCCCGTCACGAGGACGTGACCCTTTTCTTTGTAGCCGAGGGAGATGTCATGGCCCTGTATAGATAGTACTACTCACCAATACCACTATAGTACTGCACACATTCACTATCAGCCTGGCGCCTACCTCTACCGCAGCCCCTCATCAATGCCCATTAGAGTATTGTTCTCTTCCTTTTGATTACGATAAGCTAACCTCTCTGTCGCCGGACCTAGACTATCCATTACCATAGAACTGTCGTCTATTGCCTCTGTTGCCGGTCCGCTGGTCTGCTGTTCCGCTTTGCTACTCCAATTCCTCATTAGCAATAGTTAGTTTAGCGCAGCTCACAGCTCGTTCGCTGCTATCACTACCCTACCTTCCAATTCCCCGATCTCTATTCTTTCCTTTACTCTCTTTTACTATATTAGAACCTGCTTTCCCTTTTAGTCCTTGAGAGAGAGTTTGACCCAACTGAGTGAGCGCAACATCCTTCCTCACTATTGAACCTGAACTGAATCCACAACTAACTGCTTGTGCTTTGTGTTGTCCGTTACGCTTGGGTTTGGGGCTAAGAAGTGCACATATATTTTGTGCCAACGGACTTCGGGTTACGGAGTTACGTAGGGACGACACTCAGCCTTAGGCCACTACACACACAAAACATTACGCGCATCGATCCTCACAAGATAAGTCAAGACATACTCGGAGCAAAGAGAAATTTGTTTGTGTCATGCATGAAACTTGTGATAACTACCAGTACAATGTCTTTCTTGTGCGACGCCTACTGTAGTGCGCCTGACAACAATAAATTTCCCCCAAAAAATAAGAATAAGTGTATCATGCTGATACGCGATCCTCATAAGACAAGTCAAGGCAAACTAATTGAGGCTTACCTAATGTCAGACTCTTCTGTCACTGGCATTGGCGGCTTCTGCATGTCGAGATAACCTCGAAGAGCAGTGATGAGCACAGCCTAATGCAAGGATACGATCTCGTAATCTGCGAGGTCCGCTACGCAAGAAACCTTGGGCCGTCTCAGTGTCGACAGCGACGGCAGCATCCTACCAGCAAAATCATTCCCGCGGGCTGGGCATGGCTATACACTTTTGTCCACGCTCGCACCAGTCGGAGTCCCAAACGAATCGAGATTCTGGTGGCCAAGCTACTCGTCTTCTGTCGGACGCAGCTGCTGACGCATCTTCTTCCTCCACATTTGTTACACGCGATGGCAGCTCCTCAGCAGAGTATCTGGGCTCCCTGCCCCAACCATACGCGGCGGTGGGCTGTTGGTCGTCCTCACTGGCCTCAGCATCGCTGCCTTCATTGCTGGGGACAGAGGATTGTTCGGAATCGCCCATCTTCCCTTGAAATACCAACTAAAATTAGTGCTTGTAGACTGGCGAAGAGAAACGACTTTGCCACAATGACGTAGGCAGCCCGTGATGATGTAACCAAATGGCCGCATGACGTCAGGGCGCGGCCCCCGTTTTTGCAATTTCAAAGTGAAATATCTCAAGAACGCTTCGTCGTAGAGACTTCGGACCAAGACCATTCGACTCAGCGCCCGAAACTCTACAGGCTATCAAAGTTTCATTTTTTCGTGGAGTTCCCCTTTAACTGCAACAAGACTGCATGCACTGAGTCTGATGCCGAGTGATGGCTTTCTCAGCTCTTTTTGTTGTCTTGAAATCAGCGTCTGGTCGAAGTAGAGATTCCTTGCACTCCGTGTTGAAGTGGGACATCACGCGTAGATCGTGCTGAACAAGTAGCGTTGCCATCAGTCGTATCAAGAGTACATGTTATGTACTCTTGGTTATGTACTCTTGGTCGTATCAGTCACATAGTATTAGTAGTCACAAGAGTACAATGTACATGTACTCTTGGTAGTCATTATAATCACACAGGACACGACAAAAAAATCGGTTATCTACATAAAAAAAAATCACAAGACACGTGTACGTGTAGATCTACGTACAGTACTCGTAGATGTGCAGTTGTGCATGCAGTGAACATGGTGAATGCCCTGCAGGCCTGGCTAGAGCTACAAAACTCACCCACACATGAAAGGCTGCTGAGTGCTGTTGAGTGTTGTACATGTAGCGCCTGCATACGTCGTACGCGTCGTAGGTCTACGTCGTAGATCTACAAAGTACAAGTAAAATTAATACTACAATAGTGTATCTACAATAATAGTTACTTGGCCAGTACTCAATCTGCGGACAGCATGCTGTTTCGTTCTTTTTGAACTCATCAGCGCAGCACAGAGGAAATGAGGCCGAACCTGATAGCAATGGAAATAAAAATTTCCAATCAGGCCCGAACGTACCTTGCCAGAGTGCTCAAACTGACAAGTCAGTGAGCTCTGCATAACGCAAACAGCAAAGGCACTACCCCACCCAAGAGTGCTCAACTGCTACAACAGACAGTACACTACAAGTTAACTACAAGAGCAGGAGCGAAATGTAGATCTACAGAGTAGATCTACAGGTAGGTGTAGCCAGTGGCAGTAGCTACGTAGATCTACGTGGGTGTGTGTACCATGGATGATGGTGTGCGAGCAGGGAGTCGTAAAATACCACGACTCCCTGTGTGCGAGTAATATTCGGAGTATGCCCATCTCAGCTTGCTAGCGCTAGCTAGCTGTGCATGTGCAGTATGCTAGCATGCAAGCAGCTAGCATACATAATACACCACCCGCACGTAGATCTACCGACCGACGCGACGGCGACCGTCCGTCGACGCGACCATGCACCACACTTTTTTGAATGCAAGAATTTTTGCGTTTCCTTGCTGATCCATTTCGCTGAACATGAACACTTTTGATTTTTATTATTCGCATTCGATATTCTTCTTCGGTTGCGAGCAAAAGAAATTAGAACATTTAGAGCCTATAATTGATCCGTTGTCTATCCTATTGAGGAGAGAACCACTATGAAGCTGATATCTGGAGTTTCTCGCTGTCAGAGCTAAATAACCCAACGGAAGCCAGTTTTTTTGGCGTTGCTGCTCACGAACTATGTCAGTGGCGTCAGTGGTGCATAGATGACGGAGTGTGCTTCTCCCCGTGAAGTATTCACTGCACGGGCTAGAGTTAATGGTAAAGACTGTCAGATTTGCCATGAGCGGACATGGTTTGGCTGGAATAGGGTGTCGCGAGGGCAATCAGGTCAGTATTGCGATTCTTTTTATTTTATTTTTCTTATGTCTTGATTTTGTTTTGCACTACGGTTGCAGATTTTTTCAAATTGACGTTATCTGGGTGTTGTTGTCTGCACAGGACACTATGAGGATGTAGCAGAGCTGGTAGATGTTCTGGCCGTGCTGCCCACGCGTAGAGGCGGGTGTTTGGACATAGCTAACCGGACGTGTCCGAGTGGCCACACTGAAATTACCCTGTACCATGGTAGAAAAAAGCCTAAGCACCAACGCACTCTGCAGACCATCGTGGTGGAATTCAGTGATCCCCAGGAGTGCATACAGTGGTCCCTTCGGCTTCAGTCCTCGGTTGCAGGTACTGCTCCCAATCTCATGGCTCACATGTCTGATGCTTAGGAGGTTTTGCAGCTGTGTCTATTTTGCAGATTGCGTGGCGTAAATGTATGACTTCACTACAGAGTACAGTGACAGGTGCCCACACTTTCACGCACATATGCCTGCACACAGGTTCACTGGCTTAATGTCACGTACAATGCTGCCGTCAGCAGTGCTTGGCGCACTAAGTAACCGTATTCAATCTCGTGTTTGTTTGCCATGGGCACGTGTGTATGTGTGGGTGTGGGTGTGCACATTGTGTGTCTGTGTCCGCACGTGGGGTGTGCAGAAGTCCGAGGGCGTCCTCGCAACGTGCATGTTTTCATTAACCCGGTCGGCGGCAGAAAGCGAGCGCCGGCAATCTACCAGAACCAGGTAGCACCTCTGCTGCACATAGCCGACGTGAATGCAACGGTCACGGTGACAGAACGGGCCAATCATGCCCTGGAGGCACTGCAGGAGATGCAGCTGACCGGTGTGGATGGCCTGATCTGTGTCGGTGGTGATGGCATGTTTCACGAAGTGCTGAACGGCCTGCTATTGCGAGCGCAGCGTGATGCTGGCGTCAACGTCGACCGCGCTCGCTTCCTGCCCGTCCGGCCACGCATCACCATTGGTATCATTCCGGCAGGTGAGTTGAACCCTGCATCTACTCTGTAGAGTTGCTACAGCAGCAACCCTTTCCTTTGAACCATAGATCTCATTTTGTGTGCTCAGCACCTTTTTTGTTATGCATGTAGATACACAATCTCCGGACATCATTCTGTTTTAACCTTATTAGGTTTCCTCAGCGGAGCTCGAGTTACTGGCTGAACCGATTGCTATGATTTGTTGTTCACTACCAACCGAAATTATGGTTGCAGTCAAGGCAAGGGGCAAAACAGCTTACCCACATCCCGTATCGACTGGATTCAATGCTATGACTGCATATCGACTGACATTGCCATCATGCATGAACACAAATACAGCACCACCATCTTTCACTGCCAGTTTCCACTTTGGTTATGTTCTTTTGTTCACTCCCTGTATCTGCTTCATTAATCTGGTGACCGCTGCTGGTTTCTCTTGTTTCTGCTCGTGTTGTGTTGTTCATCTAGGTTCTACTGATGCTGTTGTGTTTGGCACAACTGGTACAGTTGATCCTATCACCTCCACTATTCAAATCATATTAGGTGAGTGTTATGTGTGCCCGTGTGTGTGTGTGTGTAATTTTCCGGAACTCGGGTCTATCGCTTGGAATCCGACGTCAGGTCTACCAGGCCGTGATTCTTACAGTGCTGCTGTATGGTTCTGAGACATGGACGCTGAAGGCACCCCTCCTGCGCAGGTTGGACACGTTCCATCGACAGTGTGTTCGCACGATCCTGAGTGTTACCCGAGACCAGCTGTGGCAGGAACACCTGTCAAGTGAAGACTTGGCGAAGCGCAGCGGCATGCCAGCCTCGCTGGAGGAGGCCATTCGTGCGAATCGCCTGCGATGGCTTGGTCACCTCGCAAGGATGGACGACACCAGGTTGCCAAAGCAGATCCTGTTTGCGGAGGGCACTAACACGCGGCCCCGCCATGGACCCAAGCGTCGTTGGAGAGATGTGGCAGCTTCAGACCTGCGTGCGACCGGTATCCCGGAGGCGCAATGGTACCACCTTGCTCAGGACCGTAGGGACTGGCGCGAACGTAGCCGTCGGAAGCCACCAAGCCAGCCCCAACCAAGAGTGTTCGTCTGTGTCTGCGGCCGCGACTTTCGCCGTCCGAATGATTTATCCCGACACAAGAACTACTGCCTCGCCTAATAGCTATCATCGCCTTCGGCGATGGGCTTTCCAAAGGTCCAAAGGTGTGTGCGTGGCATGTGTGTGTGTGTGCGTGGCATGTGTGTGTGTGTGCGTGGCATGTGTGGCATGTGTGTGTGGTGGAGGTGGTGTGTGGTGGAGGTGGTGTGTGTGTCGGTGTGTGTGTGTATGTGTGTGTGTGTGGGTGTGTGTGTGCATATCGATCTCCCTCTCTAATTCTCGCCCCGTCTCTCTCTCTTTCTCTGTGAGTGTGTAGCTGACTCCCTCTCTCTCTCTCTCTCTCTCTCTCTCTCTCTCTCTCTCTCTCTCTCTCTCTCTCTCTCTCTCTCTCTCTCTCTCTCTCTCTCTCTCTCTCTCTCTCTCCTTTCTCTCTCTCTTTCTCTGTGAGTGTGTGGCTGCCCCTCTCTCTCTCTCTCTCTCTCTCTCTCTCTCTCTCTCTCTCTCTCTCTCTCTCTCTCTCTCTCTCTCTCTCTCTCTCTCTCTCTCTCTCTCTCTCTCTCTCTCTCTTTCGCTGTGAGTGTGTGGCTGGCCCTCTCTCTCTCTCTCTCTCTCTCTCTCTCTCTCTCTCTCTCTCTCTCTCTCTCTCTCTCTCTCTCTCCCTCTCTCTCTCTCTCCCTCTCTCTCTCTCTCTCTCTCTCTCTCTCTCTCTCTCTCTCTCTCTCTCTCTCTCTCTCTCTCTCTCTCTCTCTCTCTCTCTCTCTCTCTCTCTCTCTCTCTCTCACACACACACACACACACACACACACACGCACACACATGCACGCACGAACAGTTACTATGCTGTGGGTGATGTGTTACACTTTTAAAAGTCAATGCGCGATAATGTCTTGTTTTGCTGGCGTTGGTTGCTAACAGGCGAATCTCAGGCTATGGACATCGCATCCATTGAATCCAGCGGCTGCTTGCTGAGATTTGCATCACTGGCATGTAGCTACGGGTTTCTTGGCGACACACTAGAGCACAGTGAAACAATGCGATGGATGGGACCACGGCGCTATGACATCGCAGGCACGCGCTGTTTCCTCAAGAATAAGTAAGCTCGTGGTCCGGTGCGGTTCTCCTTTCTCTTTTTTTGAGTTGTGTCGCTTCTTTGTTATGCACTGTACCGGTTTTGCGTGAGTCTGGATTAATTGTGGGCCTAATTAATTGAGCTCTAAAAACAGATCTGTGCAGCACTAAAGCTGGTCAGAGGTAATGCAACAAAAGACATTACATAATTTGCAACACACAGTGTACACTCCTGGGAATTCTCTCATTTGTGTCTTGATTCAACTGTGAGATGGGCACTGTGCTGCTGCTCTGGTTCGCTCTTTCTATGGCATGAATACTCTTGGCACAATCATTGTGCCAAGAGTGCATAACCCCAAGAGTGTGCAACTGCGTGCACAACCTCCATATGGTTTAAGCGACCACCCCACGGTGCAAGCAAAAGCGGTCGTTAAAGGGGAAGTATACCCTAAAATCAAATTTTCACCAGTTGTAGTCTTCTGGGTGCTGAGTCGAATGGTCTTGGTCCGAGGAAGCTGCGACGCTCCCTTCCTACTTGAATCCCAATCAAACTCGCGCACTTCCACCGAAACTGGGTGACTGCGCCCTACTAGATGGGGATTTGTATGCAAAATGTCACTAAAAGCGCCATTTCGTTCTTATAAAAGCACGGATGACCGCGATTGGCCCATATGTTGTAGTCTTTTGGACGCTGAGTCGACTGGTTTTGGTCCGAAAAGGCTGCGATGCAGCGTTCCTCCTTTATTCCCAATCGAACATGGTTGAACAAGCGGTCACGTGCTCCTACGTACACCAGTCACCTGGTCACCGTGCCTGCAGGGTACAACTTACTAGCCTGTTTGACCTTTTTTGGGTGCAGTCCTGTCACTCGAGTTGAACTCGAGTTGAACCTTGGTGTGAAAGTTGTCACCTGCTGGCGCGGTGACCAGGTGATTTGGGCACCCAGGAGCACGTGACCGCTTGTTCAACCATGTTCGATTGGGAATAAAGGAGGAACGCTGCATCGCAGCCTTTTCGGACCAAAACCAGTCGACTCAGCGTCCAAAAGACTACAACATATGGGCCAATCGCGGTCATCCGTGCTTTTATAAGAACGAAATGGCGCTTTTAGTGACATTTTGCATACAAATCCCCATCTAGTAGGGCGCAGTCACCCAGTTTCGGTGGAAGTGCGCGAGTTCGATTGGGATTCAAGTAGGAAGGGAGCGTCGCAGCTTCCTCGGACCAAGACCATTCGACTCAGCGCCCAGAAGACTACAACTGGTGAAAATTTGATTTTAGGGTATACTTCCCCTTTAAAGCCAGGTGGGCTTTAGAACCAGGTCCCACAGTGTCTGTGTAGAACTGTCGGTGCATGGAGAAACGGTCGTTAAGAGCAGGTGGTCGCTAAACCCAGAGGTCGCTTACACCAGTTTTTACTGTAGCTTGCAGCAAGCGGTTGCTGACTTGGGGCCTTTCTGTGCTGTTTCTAACACTAACAGGGGTTATGGCTGCAAGATCAGATACTTGCCCAGTCAAGACGAGGAGAGTCACCCACTCGACAAGTCCTCCTGTTTCACAAAGTAAGGGTGATCCTGCCTATTGGTCAATGGTCGATGCTCCGTTGACCAGTCTGTATGTTGCTGCAGTGCCCACGCGTGAACGTCCTTAAGCATAATGTGCGGCTGAAACAAGCTGTTTGGCGCGGTACACCTCGAACAATGTCTTTGAGGCCTTTGTCTGCGTCTTCCACGTGCTCGCTTTGTGTGCTAAATGGTCACTACTAACTTACTTACGATCACTGATGTGCGGAATACTCTACTTGTAGCACTGGTCCTTTTCTGGAATTTTCCTTTACGAGTATATAAGCAGAATACCGTGCAACCTCTTCTCACTTCATCATTTTCTTTGAGACTTGTGACTTTCTCGTCTCTCTTTTCCCGCTCTCCAGTTGTCCAGTGTGCAATAAAAGCACGGACGAAACTGGAACTAACCGGGAGTTTGAGAAGGGAGCGTCAGCGTTGGCCACGAATGAAGAAGTTGCTGATGCAAGTAAGTAGTATTGACTGTCATCTGTCCTTGGCCTGATATAGCTGCAGTATTCACTTTCCTTGGCCTGATGTAGCTGCCGGAGCACTTGTTTCTATTTTTCTACTTCCATATGCCAGTGGCCATGGTTTTGGTAGAACATACAGACCTGCTATGCTACCCAGGTGGCTATGCTGTTCATGGATGCACGAAAGTGTTGCCGACGGGACATGTCGGAGTTGTTGTGTTGTGTGACAAAGCACCCTTTAGTCCGGCAATCCAGATGCGTGCTATTTGCACCCCGCTCCCTCTCATGCACTTTGGCGCGTGGCTGGCCTCCATCTGTGTAGCCACGGCGTACCGGTATTTAAGGGTTTAGTGTGAGGCTTAGCTAGAGTCTTGTCTTGGGACCTGATACTTCCCGCAATGCCTAGTGTTCTGCTTGTGAGTAGTGGTTTTGCCGGTGGTGCTATTCCATTGGCCTTGTATCTTTATCTTGTATCTTCATGAGCGGAAGCAGGGTGCAAAGCACACAGGGAGGATTGCTGGGCTCACGCATGTGCATGTGTTTGCGTACGGGCGAGTCTTCTCCTACTCACACGTGCGCCATGGTAGTGTTGGGACATCATATGTCTTGTAGGCTGATGGTGTGTTTGGGTTCTTTAATACTCACAACAGAGCTCTGGTTTGTCAGGAGCTCCATGCTGCACACTTGGTTGCTATGTTCACTTTGGGCTTTTCTGCTCCTGCTTTTTAGCTGACTCTTCAATCTGGCAAAGCCTGGAGGGCCGCTTCTCAAGCGTTGTCGCGTGCCTCAGTGCTTGTGCCTCGCCTCGATCTAAAGCCGGTCTCTCACCATCCGCTCACTTCGGCGATGGCTGCTTGGATCTGCTGATAGTTCGGCATGGCTCGCGCCTGAATACATTACGTCAGCTTGTCCGAGTGGCAAGGCAGGGTTCACCTGTAAGGCTCTGCTGGTGCTTCATGCTCGTTTGAATTGTTTCCCGGGTGATAAGTGACTGCAGGGACTGATCCGGAAATCATTGCTTGTAATAAACTATATTCTTTATGACCAGTAATCTTTTCTTAATGTGCGCAAGCTCCACTGACCAGTAATCTGTTCAGACTAAATGGCGTTGTCCGGCAGGGTAATGATGCATTGGGGCCAATGGGGGTACGTTTGTGATGGACTGTGACTTGTACGTGTGCTTGTTCTTGACAACGTGACTGTTGCTCTTGAGAATGTGATATTGGTTTTGCAGTATGACATTGGACTTGGGAGAGAGAGAGAGACACAGAGAAAGACAGAGACAGCCACACACTCACAGAGAGAGAGAGAGAGAGAGCGCGCGCACGCGCGCTCGACGGAAACAGACAGCCAAGCACTGTCTGCCAGCCTTTATCAACTGGTACCTGGCCCAGTCTAGCATTGCAGTTCTGCTCCCCAGCCATTTCCTTTGCACCGTGAGCAGAATATAATGTGCTGCTATCCATGCGTGTGTGGCGTGTACCTGTCTTGTGTAGCTAACATTGCCATTTGTTGAAGTCCGCCGCTGCAAGGAGATTCAGTTTCGTCCTATCCTGCCACCTGATCTGGAAGATGGACTGAGAACTCGTTCGGAGGCCTCGTCTGTCCTGCAGCTGTCGCGATCTTCCTCGGACAATCGGTATGTTTGCTGGCCTGCTACGTTTCCCTGAATTGTTTCCATTCGCTTCCGTATAATTGGGCGATATCGCCCGTTTGGTTCTGCGAATTCAAATAAAAACGTACCTGCCTACCTGATCAGTGTTTGCTCGGACTAGCATAGGCTAACAATATTCTAGCCAGGAAGCTTTTGGTGTGTTTTGCTCATACATGACCAGTTAGGTGGCAAGCTTGTCCTGAGAAGCCCAGGTAATTTTGTTTGCTGTGTCTGGCGTGTGCATGTGATTGCTTTGTTGCCCATCCAGTCTTGCAGCAAATGGTCGCTCTGGGCACTCACTGAGTACGGGTGGGAACACAGTGGCAGATGCATCATCCACCACCGGCTTAACTGAAACCAACAACGGAACACCGCGTACACCAGGTAATAGCTCATCTTTGAAAATACTCTAATTTCCGAAATTTTACCAAGTAGATGCTCGAAAATTTAGGTACAATTACATGTACTTGTAAAGTTGTATGAAAGAGATGCACCGATAATACCCAAAATTGACAGTATATGTACACCGAAAATTTGTGAAATTCCAGTACTCGGCAGGTGTACTTGCCGCATCTTGTGTGCAGAAAGGAGTGGGTAGGAGCTGATGATTGTTTTCTCGTTTTTTTCCTTCGTTTTGCATGATTGTTTTTTTGGTATTGTTTCCACGGTGTTTTGTTACATCAGAGCCACCATCGCCATCTGAAGTTGTTAGCAGTGCTGAGAGAGCTGCAAGGCTGCGGGACCACGTCAGCATATGGAATGTGGATGGTGAAATTGTGTCTCAGGCCGGCATCGACGTACGGTAAGTTGTCGACAGTCCATTCAGCGGAATTCAGGGCTCACAGTCGGTATGCAGGATCGACAAAAGCGTCGTGCGAGGGCGGGTTTGGTGCACGTGAGTCGCGTGACCCCACGAGAGCACAGATCGTGTACATCCTACGCATCCCAACAGAACAAAGAAGAGAAAGAACCTTGGCTTGAGTTGTAGCCTGTTCTTGTCTTGTAGAGCCGATGTTCGCGATATTTTGGTCGGACCTGTCCTTTCCTCGCTTCTCTTGGCATGCAGTGTCAAACCATTCTCGTTTCCGTTCGTCTCGATCTTGTGCTTTTACGATCGTGCATACTCCAGTGGAAATAGTTTGCTTTATTATTTGCACTGGGAATTGCACCGCAACACTGAACAGTTACTGCCAGCCCTCGGCAACGACTTGCCTTTCACTGTGCCTTGTAGAATTTGTCCACCGAAGGAGAAGGCGAAATGCAACCTGTGCTAGTCCCAGGAAATTCATGTCATGTAGCCGCTGTTCGACCAAATGCTGATGCTACAATGAGCGATCGCGATGTTCCACAGGTAAGAAGACAAACAAACGAGTCAGAGCTCGCCAGGCAGGTAACGCCTAGAACATACTACACGGAGCTGCTGATCGGATGGAGGCGAACGGGACCAGCAAATCCGCCAGGCGTTAGTTGAGGGCCACTAAAGGCCAGGTTTCCAGAGGTACCAGTTCCTTCATGATGGCGAAATGCGCTGCCACAAGAACTCCAGCGAGAACGAAAGTACAGCAACCAACTCCGCGGGCGAACTGAGGAGAAAACACTGAAAAATCTGTGCGCAATGATTTTCTGTTCGACGGCACGCGTTGCTGTTCCGCTGCATGCATGCGTTTTTCTTGTTGTTTGATCTGGTGCTGGTTTTGCACTTTTGGCGTTCTGCGCGCTGAGTGGCACTCACTCAAAAATGTCCACTACATCTCATTCTTGGTGGATTTTGATCATCTATGGCTTATTTTTTTCAGCGTGGAATTCTCCAGACATTTACCGATCACTTTTCCGATTGCTGCACCGAAATTGAAGCCAAAACGACCAGACTTTGGCTAATCCGTGCCGGAAAACTGGAGGGGAAATGGTGAAACGCTGCGGTAGATCACTGAGTTTGGGGTTTTTGAATCAGCACAGCGAATACCAGCTTCGTGGACATCAGGGCCGATGTAGTGGACTAGATCAAAGATTTGAGAACGAGAGAGCTTTGAAGCTCAGGGCCCTGCGCTATGCTTGTTGCCTAGCTCATCGTGCATGTTGTTAGAACTGATGAAAATGCTTTTTCCTTTGATTAGCTACATCATTGTATTGCAAAAACGTTTCAATGAGATACTGAAGTAACGCCTTCTGCATAGCTGACCCTGCCGATCACGGGCGTTCTGAAGTGGACGGGATGTCTGTCCTGACGTTTCCTGGGACCGGCGCTGACTCTGCCGATCACGGGCGTTCTTCTTCTTATCATTACTATACTGACGGCAACTAACATCCATTCTGATTGCATTTACTCGTCTCCCTACTTCGTATTTTTTTCCAGAAAATCTCCCCATACAGCAGGGAGTCGTTTACATATTATGACTCCCTGCTATACATCTACATGACTGTATATACGTTATAATTATTATGGTATCGGCGTACATGCGATTCCCGGGCTGGTCGACAGGCGGCCCAGCCAGCCTGCTAGTGGGATCTCGGCCTCGCACACAAATCCACACAAAATGTTACTGCACTGAATGCATTCCCCCGATACACTTCGCATATATACTCATTCCCTTCATGGTACCGTACTCTTGATGGTACGGGACAGGTACGGGATAGCGCCAGACATGTCGATGGCACAAACAAACAAAAATATTGTGGCCAGCTGTCTTTGCTGGTACGGTACAGTACGGGACAGATACGGGATAGCGCCAGGCGTGACACAAACAAACAAACACACAAACAAACACCAAATTAAAGCTGTGTGGACCCTGGCTAGCGCCAGACGTTACTGAAGTAACGTCTTCTGCATAGCTACGGGAATAAAGGAGAATAGAGGCCTGTGATTGGTCAGTTGTCATCACGTGACATCCGCGCAAAGCCGTGCGCGACTCCACGCTTTTGTATTGGACTGTGAGCCCTGGAATTGAGGATCAAAAACCCACTCTCGAAAATCTGGGTTTGTGATCTGCTTCTCCATACATTTTGCCATGGCATACCTAGCTGAATATCTATTTCCCTGTTCTTCGACTTTTTTGGCCTCAAATGTGGCAAGGAGTAATTACACGGGTCACACAATGCAGGATGTGCTGTTGTTTTCACGATATCTACAACTATGTGCGCGGGAGACACCAAAAAGTTCGGGTGGCAGTTTCCAATGAATGTACTGATGATGGGGTGGTGTTGCTATGGCTTCTCTCCTTCAGTCATCCACGGTGATAGTAGTACAGTGGTGTGATGCTCCTGCTTGTCTGCTTTGTTTTAGTTTGCTCTCTCCTATATGTGTGTGTGTATCCATGTGTCCACATGTGTAGTGTTCATCGTCAACTGATCACACTCTACTGCAGCGGCATATCAGCGCCTGTCGACACTGACCGTACTGGCTGCTTTGGTGGTGCCAACAGCCGATCAAGTCCCTCTCGGCCGTAGCTCCGTCAAAAGTTCCAGTTCTGGTCTTGGTCTTGTTGGTGATATGTTTCTGTTCCGGTCAGCTTGGCCCCGCGGCTACAGCTGGTCCTGTGTTGGTGATGTGTTTCTTTTTCCGACAGCGTGACTCTACGGCTGTAGCTGGTGCTGTGTTGGTGATGTGTTTCTGTTCCGACAGCTTGGCCCCGTGGCTGCAGCCTGTGCTGTGATGCGTTCTCGACTGCCACAGTCTGTGTGTGCTGCTGCTCGTCCCTATATCTGCTTCCATTAATGGCTTATGCGTTCCTTGACGAAACAACTTCAGATGTGTACCTTTTTCTGTCCCCGGTGGTGATGTGTTGTAGCGTAGCTGTCTTCTTTGGAGTTCAGTGACACGGCTGACAAATGGGTGCCAACTTCACTCAGGATGACACTGTTGTATGCTCAGCTGCGGAGATATAATCGAGATATGTGATTAGTAATTTAAATTGTGTTGGTGGTGACTGTATCGTTGTTGTTGTTGTTGTGTGTGTGTGTGTGTGTTTTATCGTCCTGCTGTTTCGCATCAGAGTAAGTTATGTGAGCTATGTGTTGCATGCTCAATGCCCCCCCCCCCCCCCCCCCCCACTTTACTCAGACTCCTTTATCCATGTGTTGATTCATATTTCAAAATTATATTCAGAGGCTTTTCTTCATTTTTTACTAATCCTTGGATCACAGACTTATAGTTACGGCTTGTCTCCTGTTTTGCTGCGTTGCGCCTGTCGTTTCATGCGCGCTGTGTAGAAATGAGCGAAACCCCTCGCATCTCCTTATCCTCTGCAGGCAGTGTGTCGAGTGTGTCCCGCTCTCAGGCTTCGCCGTTTGGCAACGCTCCTTTTCCTGTACTAGCTCTAGTCTGTTCTGTATCGGCATCGGTGTCTTTTTTTGTAAGGGATGGCTAGCTCTTATGGCTGTGTGCTTCTTGGCGACACCATGCCGCTACATCATGTTCTCTGTCCTATTAATGCTAGGCCGTAGAAGTTTAATTGTTAGTACTTTTTAACCTTTCTCTCTCTCTTGGTTTTTTTCCGGATCTCTGTAGACAATGTGCCACCACTGTGGATTTTTATTTTTGTTCAACTCTCCGGTGAGCTAAGACTAACATAATGTAAACGTTGCTACTGTGCTGGATCCAAGTAACACAACTGGCTGCGTTTTCTATCGCCACAATGACTTTCCCCAAGACGAGAATGTTATTTTTTTCCAACCCATACGTGTCTGTGTCAGTGAGTTCGGTCTGGCCTGGTGCTTTGTCTACAGTGCTACCGTATTTTCCGCAGTATTATAATTATAAGCCAAAAGTACGGTACATGTAGATCTTGTACTTTGAAGTACATGACTGTACTGTTTTACTTCACCACTTCCAGTGTGCCAAAACCAGCACTTTGCCGGGGGGGGGGTGCTCACGGCCATGCTTTGTTACGCCGGTAGTTTGTACTGGGATCAAGTAAAATGTACTGAATCATTCAGTGAATGTAGTAAAATGCTTGTGTTTGCCCTCTTTCTCATCTGTGCCCTGTTGGTTTTATCAAAAGTATACTAGCAACCGCTGGGGGGGGAGTATTCATTCAGACTTTATTATACCGGTACGCGGTATGAAGGATTCTCCAAAAGTACATGCCATGATACTTTTCAGTGGAAGGGTGAACCAGATGAAAGGGAAGTGAAAATAATAGTCTTGGGCGCTGGGCCTGGCTGGTGGTTGCCCACAGGGTCATACCAAGAGTACATAAGGCCAAGTAAAAAAAAAAGCTAGATGATCGTCCCCGTCCGCCCCAGTTTTTGTCAGCGCCCCAAGAAATATTTTATTTTTTAAATCGTGAGTTTTTGCCGAAATCGTTGGTTTTTTACCGATCGCGGATGCAGGAAACATGTGCACGCGTTTTCCGTGACGAACTTACTTTGTCAAAAGTAAATTGTTGGTAGTTGCTTCGCGATGTCGAAGTTCTTGACTGTGTTCCAGCTTGACGCAGATCTGTAGAGTGAGTTGTTGTCCTCTGTTTCGAATCATCTGGTGCTGTCGTTGCGATGCCCTTCGTTCTCTTGCAAATTCGTGCTGCAACGAAAGTGTTGAAGTCGTGGTATGGCTGCGTCGTTCCTGCCGATGCAACAGTTGCTGATGCGTTCCGAGGATTCAGTGATGGGTCGCTTGACAATGGGAAGGCGTTGGAGGATGAAGCCGTCATGTCGTGCGTTCAAGCAAGTGTGGGAAATTCCAAGGACGGCAGTAAGATCAATGTCAGTCCAGAAGCGCCAGTGGGCGACACCGTCAGTGCGCTGGGACCACATACTAGTATATCACAACGTCAGTATCGATCTGCTGAAGAAAGAAAAAGAAAAAAAGAAAAAAAAAGAAAAAAAGAGAAAAAAAACCTTGATGTTGTTGTGTACACTGTGTGCATGAGAGGGTAAAAAGTAAAAAAATAAAAATAAAATCCTCCCGCCCTCGGCCTCCCCGATTTTTCCAAAAAAAGGACGATCATCTAGTAATTTTTTTTACTCGGCCTAACCCCTGGGTTATGTACTCTTGGTCATACCAAGAGGCAAGAGTACACTGTGACTACACCTGACACCAATGCCGCGGACTCCTCACTGACCTCAGACCTGTTGTGTTGTTGTCGCAGACCTGCATCGACTACCAGTGCCAGTATTGCCATTGGCAGTAACCATGGTAACCTTGATCCAGCGGAGGTGAGGAACGGAAGCCGACGGCGACGAGCTATCACCCGGCCGTGATAGCTACAGAGGCCGCTACAGTAGGCAAGATGAGCCATGAAGACATCAGAGTCGTGAAAGCCCTTTCACCACTCCCTGCATGGCATGGCGTCGACTGTCGACATGTCAACGCCAGGCGGAACGGGCTCGGGCGCGCAGTTTACTCTCAATCAGTTCATGGGCAAAGAAGGCAAGGAGTGACACAAGCTGCCTGCAATCATTTTCGGCACCCCTGTACTGCTGTAGTACTCAGTAGTTCTCGTCTTGGCGGAAGCAGACTGTGGTGCGGCCCTTCCTCTTGTCACTCTTCTCGGCCTCAGTTTTTCAGGACACGTACTTCTTTTTGGTATGCTGTGAGAACATTCGGAGGAGACGTCCTGGCGAAGTTCCAGAGCCGGACAACAACGCATAATAATAAATGTACTCGCTACTACTAGTAGTACCGGTACTAGCGGTGGACCAAATGGACAAAGTCTGAAGCAATTTTACACTACATGTATTTGCCTGTGCGCAAGAATTCAAGCGAAGGTCAAGGAGCCGTTGATGTGCACCGCTACTGTTATTCCGGCGGCGATAGGTAGTTCCGCGACGGCTCTAGTCCTCATGATCTTCCGACTCAAGTTCCGAGTCGAGTGGCTCCATAAAACCTTTGTTCAAGGCTTCTCATAGGTCCAGAGCTGAAGGCGCAGCGTTGCCGTAGCGTTGCCGTGTTATGTATGGTGGAGTTCGCCCCGCCATGGTGGCTCAGCCGCTCAGGTGAGTTCAATTACCACCATGCGTTCAAAACGGGGTGAAGTTGATACGCAATGATTAATTGGCAAGTCAGGCAAGTGTAAAAGTGCATTATTCGTATTACTATTAGCGTTGTATGCTTGATAGCAAGAGTACATAACCCGGGGGGTTATGTACTCTTGTTGATACAGTCGACCTACCCTTATAACGATATTTGCGTCACACCAAGAAATATTGTTATAAGGGTAATATTGTTATAGGGGTAACTGGTTCATTTCATATACATATGTCATAATGCATGGATTTTTTTCATTTTTTACACTCTTCATAGCATAAAAACTGACATACATGCACATTATGTGCACAGCAAGGTGCCCACTGGTGCCCCATTGCATTTCGTCATGTCCCAACGACTTATCAAGTGAAGCTTGCCCTACCTGGATAGTAGGCTCTACATATTCCCTGCTAGATATTGTTATAAAATGGAAAATGTCGATTGGTCAGCCCATTTTATATCGTTATAGGGGTAATATCGTTATAGCAATATTGTTATAGAGGTAAGGCATTGTATACACAAGTCAATGGAGTGATTTGGTTTGGCAGAAAAATATCGTTATAAGGGTAATATCGTTATAGAGGTTATCGTTATAAGGGTAGGTCGACTGTAGTATGAACATGCTTTATGATGACAGCATGTCCGACGTGACAAGGCGGAGTAGACCTACGCACTGCATGCATAGAAAACAGTGTTCGTATGGTTGCAGTCAGGAACACTGTTTTCCATACAGTGTGTCCTCCGCCTTGTGACATATTTATAGTATTAGCATTGGCCGCAGGCGGGGTTTGCAGCTCTTTATAAAAATGCTTTGCTTCACGGAAACGTATTTCATTGCGAAGAGCTGCGCTTCGGTCCTCTGAGCTGTGCTGAGGAGCTCTAACAGAGCGAAACAGTTGCTGTCCACAGATTTGAGTAGTATTAGCATTGTAATACTCCTTGATAACGTGCATAGTCGGGGCCCGCAGTTTGAAAGAGAATCGTCAGGAGTCGGGCTCGAATGAAATTTCCAGGAGAACTTACGGTCATCTTCTGGCCACCGAGTCGAATAATCTTGATCCGTATGCTATGCTGCAAGGGAGCAAACTTCCAAAGCTATAATTATGCTATATGCTGTAGCAAAGTGCTCCCAAACTCCAATCAGTCACCTTGCATTCAAAATCATGGTGTGTGTGTGTGTGTGTGTGTGTGTGTGTGTGTGTGTGTGTGTGTGTGTGTGTGTGTGTGTGTGTGTGTGCCAGCTAGTTCGGTTGGTGGGTACACTTATGGCTGATTGTCCATTCCTTTGGTAGCTTATGGCTGATTGTGTTGTGTCTGTTGCCAATGGGCTCGGCTACTTTAAGGTGTAATGTTGTACCTGCCACCTTTGTTGGTTTCAGGGTTCATATACTTTCTATTTGAAGTATACATACCTGTTAACCATGGACTGCTTCTGGCTAGATTAACTCTTGTGTAATCAATGGTGCTAGTGAAGCTTATATCAGACCCACTCTGATTTAGCCACCCACACTAGTAGCAAGTGTTACCTTCACTGGGGGCAGGGGAAACTGCAGTTGGATCCCAGGACGGATACCCTCATGCCGTCAATCCTTTTTCTGCACCTTGTCCTCACCCACTTACTGAGGTGTGGTGAGCCCATAAGTGGGATCATTTTCAAGTCTACCCAGAGTTTTGGGAATTTCAGTGGGTGTCGGCCATTGGGCGGTTCAATAGGGCTTGAAAGTGATGACGTCAGAACGGCCAGGGAGTAGTAAGTTGACATCAGATTTCTATTTTTGGATCCACTAAGGTGTGACTTTGCTATTGCCTAAGTATGTGGGTGCATAGCAACCCACTCATGTCGCATACAGGTGTGACTTTTATTTCGCCACCAGTTGTAACCCCGCCCCCCAGTAGCCAAATCAGTCAGTTTCACTGGCTACATCACAATGCTGTGGGTAAGACCGCTTGAAATGTGCTTGGATCCATACAAAAACTGGATCCAAGTGGATCCAGTTTTTGAATTTTTGAAATTGTTGCTATGCTGTGACGCAGCACTTTCAAGCCCTATAGCCAATTGAGTCATCTTTCCAAGATTCCTTTTGAGTCTCTCTCCCCACGTGACCAGTTTTGGCAGTGAGCATCAAGTACAAGTGTGTGTGTGTGTATGCATGCATGCATGTGTGTGTGTGTGTGTGTGTGTGTGTGCATGGGTGTATACGTGTGCGTGTATGCGTGTGTGCGTGTGTGTGCATATCTCTGCAATGCATCGCATGCTTTTGCTAGCATAGTGGAGCCCATCTTCCGCATGTCTCCGTCTCTTGGGACATGGCTCTATGTGCACCAGGCCAGTGTTCTGAATCTTCTGGTAGTCCTTTTTGGGACTTTGAAGACCCCTCAGGCTGCGTTTAGATGAGAGTTGTCAACCCAAGTTGAGTTCGACCCGGGTGGAGTTTCAACCCGACATGAAGACAGATTGAGTGGAGGGTTTACATGATGCATTGCGCTTGACCCAGGTTGATTTCAAAAGGAGGTTTGAAAGATTGCACAGCATTGCAGATGAGAATTTCCCATGAAAACTAGTCACATGACCATACCAGTCTAGAGAAATGAACTTTTGTCTGCTTATCTGTGATCGACCCGGGTCGGCAATTTTCATGATTGTAAACATCCACCTACTTTTTTCCCATGCAGACTTCCAGCCCGGGTTGAAAACTGTGATTCTAATGTAAGCGCAGCCTCAGTTACATCACCTCTACAGGCGCTCTGGGCGGACTATCCTGGACGAAAAGTGTTACGACCATGGCCGTATCGTGTGTGACAACACCCTGCCTTCCTCTCCCTTCCTCTCCCTCAAAACGCACACACAACCAGTCAATAATGAAAAAAGGCAAAATACTGATGAAAATGGGCACTTTAATAATTTTTCATGCAAACTTTAGGAATGGGTTAGAATCGGGCATAAATATTTTAGGGCACAGCATGGAATGTTTCTAAATGAGTACTTTGTTCTTAAATAAATAGGTGATGCATTAATAAAAACAGAATCTTCAAGAGAGTGTCTTGATAGTCATGGCCTACATATCATGAAACTATGTAGGTACGCGGATTGAAAGAACAGAATAGTTCCCTGTTCAGCAATGAGGGGCAGGGGCAAACAAAATGGAGAAGCGTAAAAAATAACTTTGTACAGACGACGACTACATGCGAAGCAGCGCTTGGGTGCAACGCATGCGTGCGCTGTGCGTGCCTTGGCTTTATTCCTGGGTGAAAGCGAGCTGGGAGGACATGTCCTTGAAGACCTTATCAACGTCGATCTGCCTCTCACTATCGCCTGTATGTACAGGTTGAGCAGAGAGAGGAGGGAAGAGAAAAGAGACAACAAAAGAGAGAAAGAGAATCAGATCCGGCGAGTACAACGTCTGTTAGACAGTTGAGGAAGGAATTCCACAATCCGTAAGAGAAAAAAACTCGTTCAGATCAAATACATCTCTAATCAGGACCGCCAGAAGCAGTTTCTGCGTATATTGTGTACGATATGGCGGGTACATATGCCCTCCACAGTAGGAAACCTGTGTTGGTGGCCAAAACGTGTGGAGGAAGCCCAAGTTTGTGAAGATTGAGTTAAAACTAATGTTATGATCCAAGGAACATGAAAACATGCAGAATCTTGACATTTTTGTGGCTATTCCAAAGGGTTAACTTTATAAAAACTGCCATAAAACCAAGGCCCGGGCGCATGTGAGTGTCTTTGAGTATATGCCTAGAGTACGCGAGTGCGTGCTGCGTGGGAGAGAGAGCGAGAGAGAGTGAGAGTGCGAGAGAGAGGGAGAGAGTGCGAGGGAGAGAGAGGGAGTGTGAGAGTGCAAGAGTGAGTGAGAGAGAGTGTGTGAGAGCGAGAGAGAGAGAGAGAGAGGGAGAGAGAGAGAGGGAGAGAGAGAGAGCGAGGGAGAGAGTGTGAGGGAGAGTGTGAGGGAGAGTGCGAGGGAGAGAGAGAGTGAGAGTGCGAGAGAGAGAGTGCGAGAGAGAGAGGGAGTGCAAGAGAGAGAGAGCGAGAGAGAGAGGGAGTGTGAGAGAGAGAGGGAGTGCAAGAGAGAGAGAGCGTGTGAGAGCGAGAGAGCGAGAGAGAGCGGGAGAGAGAGAGAGAGAGAGAGAGAGAGAGAGAGAGAGAGGGAGAGGGAGAGGGAGAGGGAGAGAGAGAGGGAGAGAGAGAGGGAGAGAGAGGGAGAGAGAGGGAGAGGGAGAGGGAGAGGGAGGGAGAGAGAGAGTGGGAGGGAGAGAGAGAGTGGGAGGGAGAGAGAGAGTGGGAGGGAGAGAGAGAGTGGGAGGGAGAGAGAGAGTGCGAGAGAGTGAGAGAGAGAGCGAGTGCGAGAGTGCAAGAGAGAGAGTGCGAGGGAGAGGATATGATATGATATGGCGGGTACATATGCCCTCCATATGATATGATATGGCGGGTACATATGCCCTCCACAGTAGGAAACATGTGCTGGTGGCCAAAACGTGTGGAGGAAGCTCAAGTATGTGAAGATTGAGTGGTTAGAACGAATGTTATGATCCAAGGAACATGAAAACATGGAGAATCTTGATACTTTTGTGACTATTTCAATGGGTTAACTTTATAAAAACTGCCATAAAACCAAGGCCCGGAATTTGAGTACATAGGGAAAGTGCGTGGGAGAGAGAGTGCGAGAGAGAGCGAGTGCAAGGTACACTATTCACAGGCTGAAGCAACCACGTTGAAGATTCCTCACTTACCAACTTCAATTGTCCTGTAGGCATATAGGGAGGTTGATTTGGCTTTAGGATCATTGACCACTAGGCGATACACACCGGCTGAAAGGCAATGGAAGGAATAAGAACACATGGCAATGAAAGGCAAGTAGTACGCATGGTGGTGGTCAATCAAAAAGAAATCAGGGAGGGGTGTCAAGCACCGCAGCTGCAAGGCACAGTTGCTGCTTTTCAAGTAACATTACCGGTGAGGGTGTCTACCGGTCATGTATGAAGGATGAAGTAGCAGGAGAGAAGCACAGACAGAAGTGTCTGCAAGTGTCTGTACTAGGGATACGCGGGAGCAAAGGTAAAATGTCAGCTACATTCTACGCTTACCTATTCATCACTCTGTTTAAAAAAAATGCTATTCCATCATGCTTCAGTGACACAACTGCTATTCCATCATGCTTCAGTGACATGTGTTGCTGGTGTGAGTGAATGGAGTCGGCCACAGAGCGCATGTGGTGAAGGTGGAACTAATTCATTGCATTCAGATTGACCAACCAAACACATCCCAATGTATAAGGGAAACTCTCATAACAAAATTTCCGGCCCACCGTGTGTAAACTTTTTGATTCTACTGACCGGAGGAACACCCCCCCCCCCCCACACACACACACGCGCGTGCGTGCATATTTCTTGTTGTGGCCCAAAGCTTTGTGTCTGTGCTGCAGTATTCGTGGGATGTATTGCACAAACTCAACAGAGATGTGTACATGTATGACGGAGGGCTGCTTACGAGGATTCAGTGCGATGCCCTTGAAGGTGACCACTGCGGCTTTGCTCCTGTCGTACGTATTGCATCTGCTCATCACACATGTCTCGCCGGACAGTGTAGCGCCTCCTGCGGACCACAAAGAGACAACGCGGCAGCCCACACAACAACACACTTAGGACAGATATGCAGTGCAAAGTAAAAGCTGGACTAAAAGCTAACGCAGTACAATGAATGTTGGTTGACAGCATGAAACACGGTGTCCTCCACCTTGTTTCATGCTGTCAACCATAAACACGTGTGAAGTAAAACTAGGTTTATCTAATACCAGTACAATGAATGCAGCAAACAACGTGTCATGAATATTTGGTCGTTGCCAGAGACTACTTACTAGGGCTCAAACGGTCACGGTTTTACCCCTGACGGTTAACTGCTAAGCTAACGGTCGGTTAACCGGTTATAACCTATAAGCCACGGCAATCCTGCGGACTCTTTTTTAACCGTATATTTGACTATACTCATTCAAAAAATGTACCCTATTCAGTACAACGCACACTTGTACATTCTCTTGCATGCTCATTCATACATACTCTCACACCAAGAGACCAGATATGACCGAGTTGACAGCCCAGAAATTGCGTACGCGTGCGACAGCCCGCGAAAGTGCATACTTTGCAACGACCTGATACTTGAAAAAATTGACTGAAAAGTTACTGCGTAACCGTTATCTTTATCGGTTAACCGTTAATTCTTCGTAACCGGTCTGCAACCGGTTAATCGGACTAATCGTTTGAGCCCTACTACTTACCTTCAACACCTAGTGAAAATATTTGCTCTACACCCGAGTCCACGAATAGAGAAAACGGGGGAATCTACATGCACAGAAAGGACAACGAATTCAGCAACACACGCATACGCACACACATGCACACACACGCACACACATTCACACACACACACAGAACATGCAAAAATCCACTATGTGTAATTTCCTGTGGCCATGGAAAATCGGACGATGACTGCAGAACTGCAGCCAGACACACTTGCCCGTATGCTCGGTACATGTGCGTGTGTGGACTCGAATTGTCACCTACCACAAGGATATCACCAGGTTGTAATATGAGTAGAGGGGACGGTTTCAAATAGGACACAGGTTGCAAACCGGAACGGACTCAATATTCACTTTCTCTCTTGGTATTTTGATTAGAAAACATATGTCACAGAGAGACTACGATGTGTTATACTCCGAGCCAAAATTTCAGGGCTCTGCGATGACCAGAAGCGCCATATCAAGCAGGTGAGTTTTTGACGTGTTGCTTCGCACTGCGACTTGAGTTTTACGACTTTCGAAAAATCAACTTCTTGTCGCAGGTAAACAGCGGCTCGCCTCTCGCCAATAAAGCACCGCATACCAATCAAAACTAATGGAAGCACACACAAGGCTTATTGTTACTCTGTACTGGCCGTCGTGGAGCGATAGCAATTACCTAATTTCAGACCCAGAGTGAATTTGACGTGCACTCTAAAACGTGTCCGGTTTGGAGCCACCTCTGATTTGAACTTTTTTGAAGCGAAAAATTGGGCAACTTGGAGGCAATGGGTCAACACAAAGGAGTGGCTCAGTTCGATTGACTCTGGCCCCAGAGCAAACTTCAACATGCCAGTTTCCTTCCACAAACATATTTCGAGTGAAAAATCAACGCTGATGATCGGTTCGGGTCTATACAAATTTGGCTGTCAAAGCGTCCCGGTATCGAGCCGTCCCCTCTACATGCTAAACAAACTTGGATTTTACACGAAAGTACATGAAAAAGATGCTAGTGGCTTGGCGTGTGTATAATTGGGTGAATATCAACGACGTACCACTTGGCCAGCTGTACATTTGCTAACTGGCTGGTTCTTCCACCACATGTTGATATTCTTGCCGTATTGATCTGCAGCAGTATGCAATAGCGGCAGCGCACATGGAATAACCAACGTCATAATCATACATCTCACACATCTCACACATAGTGGCCAATAGTGATTAGTGGCCAATAGTGATTAGTGGCCAGCACACAAGACCAAGCATGACTGTACTAGTATCCAGGAGGGGGATACACTGTATTATCATAGCCATGTGTAGTCATGTGCTGGTACAATCAGCATACACTGTACTATCATAGCCATGTGTAGTCATGTGCTGGTACAATCAGCATACACTGTACTATCATAGCCATGTGTAGTCATGTGCTGGCACAATCAGCATACACTGTACTATCATAGCCATGTGTAGTCATGTGCTGGTACAATCAGCATACGCTGTACTATCATAGCCATGTGTAGTCATGTGCTGGCACAATCAGCATACACTGTACTATCATAGCCATGTGTAGTCATGTGCTGGTACAATCAGCATACACTGTACTATCATAGCCATGTGTAGTCATGTGCTGGTACAATCAGCATACACTGTACTATCATAGCCATGTGTAGTCATGTGCTGGCACAATCAGCATACACTGTACTATCATAGCCATGTGTAGTCATGTGCTGGTACAATCAGCATACACTGTACTATCATAGCCATGTGTAGTCATGTGCTGGCACAATCAGCATACACTGTACTATCATAGCCATGTGTAGTCATGTGCTGGTACAATCAGCATACGCTGTACTATCATAGCCATGTGTAGTCATGTGCTGGCACAATCAGCATACACTGTACTATCATAGCCATGTGTAGTCATGTGCTGGTACAATCAGCATACACTGTACTATCATAGCCATGTGTAGTCATGTGCTGGTACAATCAGCATACACTGTACTATCATAGCCATGTGTAGTCATGTGCTGGTACAATCAGCATACACTGTACTATCATAGCCATGTGTAGTCATGTGCTGGTACAATCAGCATACACTGTACTATCATAGCCATGTGTAGTCATGTGCTGGTACAATCAGCATACACTGTACTATCATAGCCATGTGTAGTCATGTGCTGGCACAATCAGCATACACTGTATTATCATAGCCATGTGAACATGTGCTACACTGTATTATCATAGCCATGTGAACATGTGCTGGCACAATCAGCACACAGATGAGGACCACGCTATTTCTAAATTATGCTACCTGATGACCATAATGCAACAAGAACAATAATGAAGTGAATAACTATGATGACAACAGCAACGACAATGACAATAGAAATGACAGCACAGCAACAACAACAGCAGCAGCAGGAGTAGCAACAACAACAACAACAACAACAACAACAGCAGCAGCAGCAACAACAACAACAACAACAACAACAACAACAACAACAACAACAACAACAACAACAACAACAACAACAACAACAACAACAACAACAGAGAACTCACATGTGGATCTCAAATTCTTGAGGGTGTCAATCAATAGCTTGGAATGCTTGTCATTCTGAATCTTGAAATTACAAAAAGCACACAGTATAAGCTTTTAAAAGCATGCCGAGAGTCCAGCCTAGTATACATTCCAAAAACCACACACCCACTGCATCATTCATTCAGTGCTGCCAAACCGTCCGATTTTTCGGACAGTGTCCGATTTTTGAAGGCTCTTCCGAAAACCGGTCCGAAAAGGGAAACGTCCGAAAAGCAGCCTAAATGGCGGAGATCATTACTTTCCTATGCAGAAGTCCTGTACTTTCACTTTTCAGCGCAACTGAAGGCACAAATCACACTGTACATTTGCTTCTAAAAAGGCTAGCGCTTGGCTGTGGAAGTGCAAAGTAACATGCCTGGATCAGGCTGGATGGCATGTACACTGACAGTCTGTACAGAGTCAGTGTGCAACCACACTCATCATTACAAAATTCATGACAACTCTGGGGTTACCATGGCAACGAAGCGAATTTTCATGGTGTTTTAGGTGATATTTTGAATTCTCTGTAAAAAAAATTGCCGAGGAGAAAAATTCGCACCATGTGGCGGTGAAGGGTGTCCGATTTTGGGCGAAAATTATTTGGCAGCACTGATCATTGTACACATACAGTCAACCTTGCAAATAACCACACTCGATCGGGTGTGAGAAAAGTGTTGTTGTTCAGAAATATTCGCCTGGAAGTTAATTTCGTCTTTTTCATCCAAGGAGCTTTTGGACTAAATTAAATGCCGGACTAATGTCGATTTGTCCAGCTTTTCAATACACTCTTATGATCCATGGACGAAATTCTGAACCGGATGAACTCCCTTTCTTTGGAGTTGGACGAAAGTATTGACCTCAGGTAGGATACATGTACTACCAGGGCTGTCATACGCTGTCATAGGCTGTCAGGAATGCGGCTATCAGCCAGTACCAGGTAGGCTATGCTGCCACACACTGCAACCAAAAAGTACAAGTTCAACCTGCCACAGAGAAGAATGGGTTTGTGGGCGATGGGCGCATGGAAATTGAGATTACCCCAGAACGCGTTCAAACACATCGAGCAGAATTGGTGGACATGATAGTTCTCCTCAGGGTGGAGCAAAATTCCTCTGTACACAATGCATGATAAGCATGACTGGGTGTATTCAATGTACTCAACTTACAATTTCTTGAATGTCACCTGGTGCCAGGAAAATGAGCGACGCAATAGTGCTGTAACCCTGGAAGGAACAAGAGTGGAGCAAAGCCAGGACTGAGCAGACCGCAGCGGCGACATCATTCAGGCTGGAAAGTAGGGCACCTGGCGACAATGAATGACATGACATCATCTGTAACAGAACTCTTGGATGCAGTCCGTAACTGCGGTGACAAGGAGTCAAAGATCTCGCAAAATTGCCCTTTGCAGAGGGGAATTTCCTAGATGAAGAGCGGTTTATGGTGGACGAGAGAGGAGATCGTTGTAGGAACGAACAGGTGAAGCAACATATTCATTGCCACACGTCAGATACACACACACACACACGCGCACGCACACACACACACACACAGGGGCGTTAAAAATTTCTTACAGCGGCAATGAAGTCTTGGTCATACTTTGTCAAGCCAATGTTACCGAAAAGTGTCTTGAATTCAGCATCTGGGCATAAAACGCATACAGAAATATGAGAATGAGTACTGTACAACAGTGATTACACACTTTGCAAGGTGCTGCTCCAATGATCATGGGATGTCAGCAGCAGAACAAGCTGGGTTGGACTGGACGTTTCATTCAGTAGCACACACGGACATGCACCCACAAGTGAACACACACACACTGTTTAGAAGAGTATCTCTTTGTCGTTGTTACTATAATCGAGTGGCACATTCGCACTACAATTCTACGAGTGCTAGTTTGAAATTACGTTACGAATTGTTACATTGTACAGCAGGTACGAAACAATTAATATTTACATACTCACCGGTTTTCGTTTCGGAGTCCCGCGCTGTGACTCAGCTAATTTCTATTTCGTTTGCCTTGTATTGTCTGACTAGGGGCGCTGTCACCCCGTCGGGTGCAAGCACCCTTGGACAGAAGCACTTCACTTCACGACAAGTGTTCATTTTCGTTTTCCTCTTCTGCTTCTGTTGCACAGTTTGAACTTTGATTGAATGTGTGCTTTTTTCGTACTCTGCTCTCGATCGAACCATGCGCGGGTCGATCTCCATAATTTTATCTTCCGTTGCCATGACTGGCATTAGTACGCGTTCTGTACTCACTCGCTGCTTGGCACGCTTGCAGCGCGTCTTTTTTCTGTTGCAACCCAGTGCCCTGCGTGCACGGTACGGGATTTGCGATGCCACATCAGCGTTGGTGTGTTGTTGTGTTTCGTTGTTTTGTTCTTGGCTGAGTGTGGTCGTTAAAACTGAGAAAGAACGGGTCGTTGACAAGGCGTGGTTTCGATGTGCATGCCCTCCTGTCAACTCCAAACTATTGGTAGCAGAGGATGGTTATCACGGAGCCATCATGGAGGTAAAACTAGAAGACCTCGCACGGAAAAAGCGAGAGCTGAAAACGGATTTCACAAATACGAGGAGAAATTTGACAGTGGAGTCAACGAATGAGGTGCCGAACCAGGATGACGTAAAGACATGGAGAAGCCACTTGACGACAGTGTATGACGAGACCAAGAAGGTCATCATGGAGTACATGGAAGCGGTGGTGGACACTGACTCTAGGAGACATGCTGGTCTCCAGAAGCAGTACAAGCAGCTGGAAGGCCAGTATTCCGATGCCATGGAATTGGCCAGGAGTGTGCTCATCAGGAGCAGCAGAGCGAGCCTGGCAGCGTCGACCAGGCAGACTCCCAGTCCCAAGCAATCGCCACTGAGAGGGGCAACGCCTTTATTGGCGTCAGTGCGAGAGGAAAGCAGAGAAATTCTAGATCTGCGTGCGGCGCTCCAAGATGCACCGTTTCTTGGTCGCCAGGACGATGCGCGGGTTATGTTGCCCAGGACTGCAGACTATGGAGAACGGGTGAAAGTAGAGCCGGACAGTCGTGTTGTAATGTTCAGTGGTCAGCGTGTGGGGGAACCTGCCGAACCCTTCCCGACCGTTGCCATGGCAACCGCGTCAGCACACACGCCACCGCAAACGGATATGATCAACAGCAATGCATGCACCGCTTTATCTGCAGCAGCTGCAGAGTACCAGCCACGTAGTTCAGTGCTGCCAGCGTCATTTGCAACTATGACCACGGGCCGCAACGCTCCCGCTAGTATAAATCAGGAACAAGGCTCTGCCTTCCTGATCCACGATCCTGCTGATCAAACACCTAGTATGATGTATGCAACGTATGGCAACAATACTGCTAGGCCGCAGCAGGCATACATGTACCAACAACAGCAGCCGCAGTGGAGTGCGAGCAATAGTGCAGTCGTGTACAACTCACCTGTGTCTACTGGACCGTCGCACACCATCTCTGCCGGAGCGTCACAGTACGGTGCGAGACCCAGCGCTGGCATGCAAGCACCCCGGACCGCAGTATTCGCCCCAGTTCCGACATATGTCGGAGGCACCGCAGCTCGACCTGCGCCAGCGCCAGCTGCACAGATCAACATCGCCAGCAAGCTGAAGCGGATCGAAATTGCCGTGTTCACCGGAGAGAAGCGAAAATACGAGCGCTGGAAATCCGCTTTCAGCGTTTGTGTGGACCAGCAGCCGCTCTCCGCTGAATTCAAGCTGCTGCAGCTCCGGCAGTACGTGGCGGGTGAGGCACTGGATGCCATCGAGAGTCTCGGCTACTCGGCAGCAGCATACGAGGCTGCTCTGCGGCGGCTGGAGCGACGCTTCGGTGGGAGTCGCCGGCGCCTTGCGGTTAGGATGGAAGAGCTGGAACGATCTCCACCTATTCGATCCGGTAGAGCCCAGGACCTGGAGCGCTTTACCGATGTGCTCGACATGGCAGTGGTGACGTTAAAGGATGCCGGTATGCACACTGAGCTAGGTACCGGCATTCTCTACCAGCGGATCCAGCAGAAGCTGCCGGTGAACTTGTTGGCCCAGTATCGCCGCTGGATAGTACACCACCAAAAGGACGAATCGGTCGAGGTGCTGCTGGAGTGGCTGAATGCCGAGGCAGAAGTTCTTGCTGCCGCCACGGAAACTATCGAAGGCATCAGCCAGCAGCATCACGTCAGAAGCCAATTGTCAACCAGCGGGACAAGTCGAAATCAGCCGACTCGGACGGCAACTGCTCACGACGCTGTGCAACCGCGCACGACCACGTTCATGACAGCTACAAACACCGCTGGCAACGTGCCGACCGCAAGGTCCACATGCCAATGCTGCAATGGCGGCGGGCACCCGATCTGGCGCTGCCCAGAGTTTGAGAAACAAACTGTAAGCCAGCGCTGGGCAGCAGCGAAGCGAAGCAAGTCATGCTATAGATGCCTTGCGACTGGGCACAGCGGCAAGGACTGCCCACGGGACCGGGAGTGCGGTATCAACGGGTGCACGCAGCATCACCATCGCCTGCTGCACAGTGAGCCCCGTCAACCGCCTCCAGCGTCGTCAACCCACGCCTCCGGAGAGACTGGAGCCATGCAGCCGGAGAACTTCAGTGCTGTCTCCCTTGGAAACAGCACGAAGGGAGAGGAGAATAGATTACGGACGGTGACGTCGATTCGGACAGTTCCCGTTCAGCTATCCAACGGCAAGCGGTCGCTAACTGTTAACGCGCTGCTGGACGACGCCAGCACGCGCTCGTACATAGCGAGCAATGTTACGGCAGAACTCGGCCTGCTTGGATCAAGCATGTCGCTGACCATCAGCAAGCTGAATGGACAGCAAGAGACCATTCACACTGTGCCAGTATCGTGCACTCTGCGAAGTGTTGACGGAGCCACGTCGACGACTCTCCATGCGTGCACAATCGAGCAGCCAACAGGCAACATGGAAGTTGTAGACTGGCATCACCTGGGAAAGCAGTACGCACATCTAGCCAACGTTGAGTTTCCGCCGCTACCGTCGAAACGCCACATTGACGTGCTTATCGGTGCCGACTATCCGGAGCTTCACATGGCGTATGAAGAGCGCTCGGGTAACAGCCATGAGCCCGTGGCGCGTCGGACGGCATTAGGTTGGACCTGCATCGGCCCAGTCAATCAACCGACGGACGAGTCCATCGAGCTGACTGCGGTGACCGTCGACCAATGCCACAGCGAGCTGAATCGTCTAGAGCCAAGCCGCTACTCCGACTGGGTACGAATGTGCCGTGTTCATGCTTGGTGTGTGCGATTCGCTACGAATTGCTCAGTACCACCCGCACAACGAGAGTTTGACGAATTATCGCCACCAGCGATCCGAGACTCTGAGGAGTTCTACATCAAGCGAGCGCAGCAACAGTCGCTACCAGAGTATGCTGCAGTTAAGGCAGGCAAGCCGATCCCTGCAACCAGCAAGCTGGTCTCGCTCAAGCCAATGATTGACGACGCTGGCCTTCTACGCGTCGGAGGTCGACTACAGCATGCAGACTTCTTGACTGCAGAACAACGCAATCCGATTGTCCTACCACGAGGGGATCATGTGACACAGCTGATTGTCAAGGCATGTCACGAACGAGGATATCACGCGTTCGGTGTCAGCCATACGCTAGCCGAACTCTCGTCGCGCTACTGGATCGTCGCTGGCCGCGAAGAGGTGCGAGCTTGGGAAGCCAAGTGTGCGAGGTGCGCCCGGAGCCGTACGAAGCCGGCAATGCAGGTGATGGCGCCACTACCTAAGGTCCGAGTCAGCCTGCCGCTACGCGCATTCGGCCGAGTCTCTGTAGACTACGCCGGACCGTTTATGACGAAGCAGGGTCGCGGCAAGACACAACACAAGCGGTATCTGTGCTTGTTCACGTGCTTGCAGACGAGAGCAGTGCATCTCGAGCTGTCATACGCGTTGACAACGGACTCGTTCCTGCAGGCGTACGTACGCTTCACCAATCGACGGGGAGTACCGATCGACGTCATCTCCGACAATGGCACGAATTTCGTCGGCGCCACCAATGAGCTTGCTCAGCTAGTCAAGCAGCTTGATGCAGAGGCGATTCAGCGGCAGACAGCGGATCAGCAGACTAGCTGGCGTTTCAACCCTCCAGCAGCACCACATTTCGGCGGAGTGCATGAGGCGTTAGTGAAATCGGCAAAGCGTGCTATCTCGGCGATTCTGAAGAACGCGGAGGTCACAGACGAGGAGCTATTGTCTGCTATCGTCGGCGCGGAGGCGCTCATGAACTCACGGCCACTGTCCTACGTGTCGGCAGATGGTCGTGACCCAACTCCGCTAACGCCCAATCATTTCATGTATGGCCAAATCGGTACTCGGTTCGCACCTGCAGGAGTGGACGAGAGCGAGTTCAACCCTCGGCAACGCTGGCGTGTAGTGCAAGAACTCGTGCTGCACTTTTGGCGGAGATGGATGCAGGAAGTCGTGCCAGAGCTGAACCGGCGACTCAAGTGGAGGACGGCCGAGACAGACCTCAAGGTCAACGACATCGTTCTAGTGACATCCCAAGACAACCCACGGGGCACTTGGCCAATGGGTCGTGTCACCGAAGTGCACCCTGGTCCAGACGGACACGTGCGAGTTGTGAAGGTCAAGGTGGGCGACAAGACCTACACCCGCCCAATCGTGCGTCTTTGTAAGCTATTCTGTGAGTAGCTCCTTGTTTGCCTATTTCAGAACAATAATCAATTTCGAATTTTTTGGTCACTGTGAATTTCGGCACAGTGAGAAGGGAGAGAAATGTTTAGAAGAGTATCTCTTTGTCGTTGTTACTATAATCGAGTGGCACATTCGCACTACAATTCTACGAGTGCTAGTTTGAAATTACGTTACGAATTGTTACATTGTACAGCAGGTGCGAAACAATTAATATTTACATACTCACCGGTTTTCGTTTCGGAGTCCCGCGCTGTGACTCAGCTAATTTCTATTTCGTTTGCCTTGTATTGTCTGACTAGGGGCGCTGTCACCCCGTCGGGTGCAAGCACCCTTGGACAGAAGCACTTCACTTCACGACAAGTGTTCATTTTCGTTTTCCTCTTCTGCTTCTGTTGCACAGTTTGAACTTTGAATGTGTGCTTTTTTCGTACTCTGCTCTCGATCGAACCATGCGCGGGTCGATCTCCATAATTTTATCTTCCGTTGCCATGACTGGCATTAGTACGCGTTCTGTACTCACTCGCTGCTTGGCACGCTTGCAGCGCGTCTTTTTTCTGTTGCAACCCAGTGCCTGCGTGCACGGTACGGGATTTGCGATGCCACATCAGCGTTGGTGTGTTGTTGTGTTTCGTTGTTTTGTTCTTGGCTGAGTGTGGTCGTTAAAACTGAGAAAGAACGGGTCGTTGACAAGGCGTGGTTTCGATGTGCATGCCCTCCTGTCAACTCCAAACTACACACTACAGTCCATTTCAAAACTATAGACGCGGAGGGTTTTTGAAATATTTCAAATTTGGCTGGAACTTTTTGAGAATAGTTTTCGGAATATTGCTCAGGACCGCTCCACAATTACTCTCATATAGTTTCTAAACGATTGGATAACAGACGCCCAATTTGGAAAAATTTATGCACAAAGTGATCACAGATTTTATGTGGTATAGATGCTGGCATAACGGTTTTTGCCTTGGTACGCGTCTATAGTTTTGAAATGGACTGTAACACGCACAGTGACACAAACACACACACAGTGACACACATGAATGCATGCACGTGCACACACGCACACACACTCTCTCTCTCCTTCTCTCTCTCTCTCTCTCTCTCTCTCTCTCTCTCTCTCTCTCTCTCTCTCTCCAGGCTCACACAATGACACATATTGAGTAAGAACACACGCAGGGCAGTATCCACGGGTCATCGTACTCACCAAGACCAAAGAATGAAAGGCTGATGAAGCTGGTCTTGCACTCCACATCCTCAGAATAGTTGTCTATAATTACAAACTTGACAAACTGTATCCACAGAAGAAAGAGGATTTGGTAACAGCCTTACCATGCAACAAGGGGCCATCTGTAGATATGGCTAGTTTTCGTTTCTAAATAAATATTGTTATTTACGGATGCCCCCTATTCAATAGTTACTGGAACTTATTTACTACAAGTACAATGTATGTCATACATATCTTTGCTTCACATGCTAAAATACAGGACATACACACAGTGACAGATCACTCAGTCCACTCAGCAAAACAAAGAGGTGTGGATATGTTTTCCGTGAGCCTGTCAAAAATCAATTGTTCTATGCCTCACCTGACTGACGGACACAAAGTTCTGGAAGACCTGCGTCTCATCTGCATACGCACACACAAACATACACGTGCACACACACGCACGTGCACACACATGTGCACACACACACACACACGTGCACACACACACCATTGGACCATTGGACGCCCATCGCCAGAGGCGATGATAGCGATGCTACAGCAGAAGCCATAGCAACTTGTGCTTGGATTGCACCATTCAACAGCTTGCAAGGCTGAAGAATTGACCGCCACTATTCAGCCTGGTCTACACCACACAGCTATGAAGTGGCTTTTTCTGGCCAGTGAATCCCTACTTTTTGGTCTTTTTATTTTTTTATTTTTCCCGCACACACATCACACCACATACTCCGGCATGCACTGGCTGTTGGTAACCACCCAGGAGAATGAAAGAAAAGTCAGGAAGAGTCTGAGAAAGAGAAGAAAGACGTGTGTGACCATAATCGTCGGGAATCGAACCCGCAACCTATCGATTGGAAATCGCTGCACATACCACTGCACCATATGGGGACACACTCACACACGCGCACACACACGCACACACACAGTGTGAGCTGTGCAGAAATAGGACACAAAGCATTATCCTGACGTGGACCACAATCCTGGCTTGCTGGCGACTTCTTCAAGACGATCTACTTCATTGCCGGAATCGTTGTGAGGCAGTCCAGACAGCCCGCCATGAGTGCCATTCGTGCGTTTAATACTAGTAATTACAAATTCTGTGGACGTGCATATATTTTCATTGGGAGCCGGACTTTAATCGTGCACGCGAGAATAAGAACAAGCGGGCTGCACTCTACTGCATGCGATGCCTCTCCGCTCACAAAAACAGCAAACTCCCTGCAGGGTCACAGTGAGGGGTGTCAGAAGATGAAGCCCGCACCACTGGTCATGCATACACGAAGGGAAAAAACCCTCAAATTTGCAAACCTGAAGCACCCAGGATGGTGGTTTTGTACGCTGATACGGAGCGCATCATTGATCCAATGGAGAGACAGCACAGCATGCAGGGACTAGAACTACACTACTAGCCACGAGCAGGGCTGCCACACTTGGAGGGAGAAAAATCTGACGGGAGTACGGGGGTGTCCCCCGGTGAATTTTTTTAGGAAAATGGCTCACTGTTGGGGCCCCAGAACACATTTTTAACTGTCCACACACATGCAAGCACGCGTGCATCTTACAGCTACATGTACAATGACTGGCCAAACGCGACCTGGAAGTGCCGAATGGCCAACTGGACTAAAAAGCGCTCAAAATAAAATAATCGGTTGTCCCTCTTTGGGAACAAAATCGGTCGGTTTGTCCGACAGGCGATCAAAAACCGGATGATTTCCGAAAAATCGGAGCAAGTGGCAGCCCTGCACGTGTGTAAATTATTCAGCACTTTCTCTGTACCTGATCTGGTGGCACGGAAAGCTCTAGCTAGATGCCATGGTCCTCTGGAAAAACAAATACAAACACAAAAGAAGCAGCAGCAGTAGCAGCAGAAGAGGATACACACAACACACACCACTAAGATTAGCTCAACCTTGAATGTGTGCGTATAATTATGTAGGTACCAGTCACAAAAGACTGTGAATAATAAAACTTTCAATACACCACCCGGGGCCCCATGCACATTTCAGCAGCAGCCCATGCTGTAGCATGGCCCCAGAGCCCCTGAAGCGCTGTGCAGTCGAATGCAGCAGTGGTTATGTTAGGCTATGTTAGGCTATGTTAGGCTACGCAAGGCTATGTTAGGCTATATTAGGCTATGTTAGGCTATGTTAGGCTATGTTAGGCTATATTAGGCTATGTTAGGCTACGCAAGGCTATACTGGCTATGTTAGGCTATGTTAGGCTACGCAAGGCTATGTTAGGCTATGTTAGGCTATGCAAGGCTATCTTTAGTACTGTATATTGTAGTTGACATGATTGCACAGGCACTACTGACTTTTTGGCATGGACCATGGAAGATGCTCTAGCTCCTAGCCATGATGAAATAGCTACAGCTGATGAAAAAAAAGATTGGTGTGGAGGAGAAATTATACAGTAAAACTTGCCCCACCCGGATGCCCTTGGTGCAGCGGAAACTGTCCTGATATGACCGGATACCGCTTGATCCAGGGATGCACGTTCGATCCACAGTACTTTGATGCATGAAGATTTGTCCGGTCAATACAGGATTCCGCTTGGTACAAGGTCCGGCAAGTTTTACTGCACATGGTAATATGTGGGTGGAAGCAATCCTTATGCAGTAGGACTATACAGGCACTTTTAGGTCTTTATGACATCGGGTTTCGACTTTCGAGGTCTGTGTGAGCCCTCCAATCAATTTCTGGAAAATGAAATTCCAAAAAGGTTCACCCCAAAGCATGCTCTGTGTAGTCCAACTTGACCCATTGTTGACACTTACTCTGCCGAGGGACCATGTTGGATTTGAAAGTTCTTTACGGTTTCATCACTGTTCCTGTAAGTCACAACAGTCCATGTACATATACGTTTACAACTTTATATCCAATTATCCATACATGGAGCACACATGCACTTGTAAGCGGAAAAAAAAACCCGGGCACACACACACACACACACACACACACACACACTACACGTGCACACACACACTACACGTGCACATGCACACGCATAGTTACCTGCACATGCAAAACAAGCATATGTGCAATCATAAACCAGGGCCGACCCCACTGGTATGGCTGGTACGACCATGGCCGTACTTTACCAAATTCCAGCGGTCATATAATGTCCAGTATATCATTGAATGTGAAAAACCCAACAAGCTATCCTCGCTACTGAGCCGCTCCAGTCCTTTTCTCCCAAACTGGTCTTCTTGTCCAGTGAGGACTACTGTGCTAGCCGTGAAATTAGGCGTGGGGAAATGATCAGCTCTGTAGCCGACCTGGGGCCACCCCTCATAAGCTGGCTCCGGGCCTGTAAACGCATACCGTATGTCTGCACCTTGAAAGCCAAGGCCTTGAATTCAAAACACCGCTGCTTTCCCAGCTATTTTTGATGCAAAATGACCCATCTACTACGTCGGCATAAAGTCAAAGTCCTCACAAAGTTTCAATCCAAATCAGCTCTTGCCCATCCTGCTGGGCTGGAATTTTGATAGTAGAGAGGTTAAGATGCACGTTATTTCCGACGTGACGCGAAAGTTCAGCTCGCGTTATTTGCTCGCACGTCAAAAAATTCACGCGAGTGACCTGCTGCTCACGTCGAAATATGGAGTTTTACGCCAAATTTGACGTGAAATTGCGCGTCACGGAAATAACGTGCATCTTAACCTCTCTACTATCGTATCACTTAATATAGAGCCATGGCTTTATAATCGAATATACTGCCACGGGTTTAAAGGTACAGCATAGTCAATATGAAGGAAAGCTATTGAAGAGGAGAGGTTACTGTCTCTCGTACATCTCTCATACTGACACTGGCACACACAGCAGTGATGGAAGATCACACTCTACTCTCTTGCCACAGCGCTGCGATACGCGGGCACACACACACACACACACATACACACACACACACACCTACGCACTGATCGTGTACACTTGGCAACTGAGCACCAGCTTTTGAAACTGGCCTATTGACAGGAAAACGCGCGGCGCACCACTCGCCCACTGAGTGCGTTCGATTACACACTTGAATCGATTTATGAATCCATTCGCATGCATTCAAGTCGTTCGATTTTCATGTCATGAGCCCTGGAATCGATTCGGAATCCATTCACTCTATTCACATGGGGTGATGTGAATATCGCGAATCGATCCATGAATTGATTCGTGTGCATAATCGAACGCACTCACTGTCCACATCAGGCACATGTCGGGAATGCAGCTCTTTCCCCGGTCACTTCTAACACTCGACACGAGTCGAAAGCAGCACATGCCGCAGATATCTGTGACTGCAGCAGTATGGAGATGGAGTACCGTAAAAGTCCGTAAATAAGCACCTGCCCGAAATAAATACCCCCTTCATCCTTTTGACTCTGTCTGTTGAAGTCAAGTTCAACCCGATAAACATACTACTCGAAATAAGTACCGGCACGGTGCGCACATGCAGCACATAGCATGTACATCGACATGAAAAATGACTTCTCCACTACACACTAGTCAGGTCTGAAAGTTAGTTCGTGCCCGAAAGTTAGCACGGGTGTTACCACTAAATTCGAAAGTAAACACGTACTTATTTATGGACTTTTACAGTAGTACAACAACAAAGTTAGTCAGCAACACACTTACCATCCTTTGACTTCAACTCCATTCAGAATGAATTTTGAGCCAAAGTCAAAAGTCACCTGCACAGACAAGAGAAAGAAAACAGTAGTCAGAACTGCGCATCCCCATATGAAAACAGGGGAGGGAAGAAGAGGGAAGACATACCATACATGAGGGATTCCCAAATGGATGACATTAGAGTTGCTCAAGAAGAGTTTGCATACTAAACTACAGTGCTGGCTGGTAACATCGGATCACTGATGGGAGAACGCTCTCCGTACCCCAAGTCATGCAAACATTGGCAACCAGCAGCTCTGCAAGCAAGCCAGCTCAGTTCATGACCTCATGCGCACGCCCTGCTGCAGTGTTCTCAAGTGAGTACAGTGTAATCAGGTTTCATCGGCCAGCATGGTACCTCTCAATGCACTCTCTTATCCACAAAGCATGGCGAGCTACATGCATAAACTCACCGAGACCTCACATTACACAACTCAGCAAGCACAGTCATTGGTGGTATGCTCCCACAGGCCATAGCAAGCTTCTAGGGTATCCCGCAAGATGACTACATATCAACGGGGACTTTCCCAAGCACACTGAAATACATACAGTCCATTTCAAAACTATAGACGCGTACCTAGGCAAAAACCGTTATGCCAGCATCTATACCACATAAAATCTGTGATCACTTTGTGCATAAATTTTTCCAAATTGGGCGTCTGTTATCCAATCCTTTAGAAACTATATGAGAGTAATTGTGGAGCGATCCTGAGCAATATTCCGAAAACTATTCTCAAAAAGTTCCAGCCAAATTTGAAATATTTCAAAAACCCTACGCGTCTATAGTTTTGAAATGCACTGTAGGTACATTTTACATGTACTACAACAGTGATGCTCGATGGCATCCGATCGTCTGAGTCTGTCAGTCAAGTATGCGCCTTGAACCAGTTCGCAGCCCAGTGTTCGCAGGTCTAGTGCTGTGCAAAGCCCGGCGAATACTTGAGTGACTCGGTTGGATTTCATTGAGCAGTACAGTGCAAGTAGGTTTCACATAAGAAGGGGGGGGGGGCTGTGGCCACTATCACTTACCCAGTTGTTGCGCCCACGAGGTATGACGTAGCGTGTCCTGGCATTACCTGCACACGTGGCCAGAACACAAACACACACACACACACCCGTACACACACACCCGTACACACCCACCCGTACACACCCACACACACATGCACACACACCCGTACACCCACACACACCCGTACACCCACACACACCCGTACACCCACACACACCCGTACACACACCCGTACACACACACACCCACACATTGCCGTCATAACATAGGGCACAATTGTCCGTTTGATTTGCGATGTAAAATAAAAATGAACACACACACACACGCACACACGCACACACGCACACACACACACACACACACACACACACACACACACACACACATATTTCTAAATTCTTAGACTAAATTCTTCAGGCCAGATCAACACAACTACTTCACGTGTGGCACTCACCATCAAACAAGTTGAAGACGACGGCCATAGGGTCCGAGCGACTCCTGTACGGTCTGACATTACGAGTCCACTGGGTGAACATGGCCATCCGAGGAAGATTTTCTGTCAAGAACAAACACAGAACATGGAACAGCATTCTCTTTAATACATCACTGCAAACTACATGTACAATACTCGTATACGCTATTCCAACAAACGGGCCACAGTGGAAATACAACCAGGTGTGCACAGTGTGGGCGTCGAGTTTCAGAGCGTGCCGGAGCAAAGATGGCAACTTGATGGGCGAAGAAGATGGCACGCACCTTGGCCAGTTTCACACCAAGAGGGAGAGCATGAAGACAATAGCTGCAGCAACTGCACAGATATAATTTGAAGTACAATGTAGGTGCAACGGCAACAACATACCTGTCACTTCCTTCTCCTTTGCCTCCTTGATTTTCGATACACGGTCCTTCTCCACCTGTATGCATGCAAGAGAGGTGCATCGGTAAAGCAAACACAACACAACACAACCATTGCATTTACTTCTGAAAATACAGCTAACCAATGATTCAATGCTCAGCAAAGCCACTCAACAAGTGGCTCTCATCAAGTTGTAGTATCTTGTTAGACCGGACAAAAAAGTGAGCGAGAAAGAGAGAGAGAGAGAGAGAGATAGATAGAGAGAGAGAGAGAGAGAGAGAGAGAGAGAGAGAGAGAGACAGAGAGACAGAGGGAGACAGAGAGAGGGAGAGACAGACAGAGAGACAGAGATAGAGAGAGAAGTAATGAGCGATAGTAAATGGAGGTTGTGATAGTGTCAACACAAAGAAATTGCTGGCATTTCAACAAAAAGCACATACAGCTACACACGCTGACTATGAATTCAGTGGAGAGAAAGTGGCAAACTTTTTTAACCCTTAAAAGGGAACAACAACTAAGGACTTACCCTCGGTGTGCGAGGTTCCAACAATCGACCCTCTGTACACAACACAAATATATGAACAGTACGCAAAGTTAGAGGAGTGAATTGATTTCCACATCCAGAGGATGGGCAATTCAGACCAACATGGAGTCGCCACAAATTGCAAATCGCCGAGCACCTGAAACAAATACTTTTTGCCACAGGGGCGAGGCAACGTCCTTGCTTCATATGTGCAACACCGGGGCAGATATAGCAAAGCATACACATTACAAAATTCCAAAAATAACTAGGATACGAAAATTTAACAATGCAAAGCAACAAAACAAGTTGCCAGTTCCTTAGCGCTCAGTCAAGTCTTTTCAAACTACATTTCTGCCCATTCTCATCAGTGGAGTACATTGGAAATGAAGCTGACGCAGTCCATGCAGTCTACTTGTAACGTTGAGGCGCTAATATCCGCAGCCATGAAAACGAGCACTATGTGCACAGAAGTATCCAGGTTGGAGAAACTCTTCGTGTCAAAATGACAAGTGATGGCACTCATTCTCATTCTGATGTGTTATGTTCTAACACATTTGTGCGATAAGTCGACAAGCGCTGTGACTGCTGATCTAGAGTTGTGCCTGCTATCTCGAAACCGGCGCCTCTTCTCTCTCTCCTTCATGTACCCTTACGTAAAGGCAGGTGATAGTTTGCCGCCAGTGCTACATGTCAACACATACTTGTACACATTTCTAAACTGCACTGATGCACTGCTAGGACTGTTCTGACTCACTCAGATTGCCCAGCACATGTACTCCAGTGATGAGAATGAGTAGAAAGGACTGGTTGCGTTAATCTGGCAGCTCTGTTGCTTCGTGTGCATGATTCCTAGGCTGTTGTACCAGTACACTGTCAAAGGATGTTGAGGGCAATGTCGAGCAATGATAGATAGGGTGCAAGTTGGATGTTGCATACTATAATAATATGGTATATCACTGATAATGAATGCATACTATGTAGCCTGTATTGCGTACCAGCACATTATTGACCCCCATTCTTCTCTCTAATGTACTCACTGTCAAATATTCTCAAGTACTCTGGTCCACGATTGCCCGGTAGCATTCTGGCCAGACTTTCGGCTGTGTTTCCCTTGGAATCCTTCATCATACTGTCTGCTCCAAACTCGAGCAGTAGCTTGCAGATCTTGGGACGGCAGAACTGGACGGCTTCGTGCAGCGGTCGGCTTCCTATAGATGCAGCAACAACAAAAAAACATACACAAAATACAAACAAGGGCATCATGTACACACATACACATATACACACACGTACACACACACGTACACGTACACACACACGTACACACACACACATATCACACACGCGCGCGCGCGTGCGTGCACACACACACGCACCCCCACACGTACACACACACGTACACACACGCACGCACACACCTTTCAAAACAAGTCACAAGTGACAGTACAGGCACCATGAAAGCGCAGCACAACATTCCGTGGTAGCTCCAGCAAGACAAGAATGTCTATCAAGAAATACCTGAGCGCACCGCTTACCAGAGTAGGCTATCTATTACCCCCCCCCCCCCCCCCAGACACCTTGAACAGGTTGCTGCATGGACAGCCACGTCTTACCGAAGAGAAACTGCCTGAAAATTACGCTAGTATTCGCATCCACAAAAGCAATTTACCTGTGTTTTTGTCCATTCCATTAGGGTCCAGTCCACAGTCCAGCAAGACTTCGCTCAACTCAAGCCGACCTGGATGATACAAGCACACAGAAGAATCCAGGACCGACCTTAGTACTAGCAACTCCTGCTTTAGATCTGTGAAGCACCAACAGTGGCTTTAAAGGGGCTGCTTTGTCCAGAAAATGTGTACAGATGATAGACGAGTATAAAGAGTCAAGCTCCGTATGAAGACATCCAAGAAGAAGATTGCCTGATGAGTCCAGCGGGGACGAAACGTACGTCGCAATCGAGCCATGTCGTTGCAATGTCATCTTCTATGTGCCATGCGCTACTTGATGTACCAGCCTGCTATGTCGGATACCGCCAACCATGCATCGACTAGGCACCAGGCGCGAACTGATGGTGGTGGTGGTGAGAAGGAGAGCTCTGTGCCAGAACTTTGCAGCTTAGAGAGCGTGTGTGGGCGGGCGTGTGTTTACCGCCATATTGCCGGGTGTGTCTTTACCACCATATTTATCAACCAGATGATAGACTTGCGAGTATTTGTTACTTGCTGATACTTGCTGCTACATTGTGTTAGTGGAAGCAGAGAACTATTTCCTCTTCTACAGGTCTGAATGCAATCACAAATTGTCAATGTACGGCTCATTCTGAACTCACAGATGACTCTAGTCTAGCGGTTTACATTCCCAATACTACGGACGAAGCAAATGGAAGCAAATGGAAGGAGGTGTCAGTTGCCCAACACACTATGCTGCCAGAGGGTGTACACAACATCATCCTACCTGTTCGTGCTGCTTCAATGAGGGGCCTCGCATCCTGCGCCAGCTGACGGCAGGAGTCCACAAGCAGAGACACAGCATCTTTGAACAAGGAAACGAGAACAGGGTGCACATCAAAGTACAGTGTGTGGTAAATGAGAGCAGACCTTGTCAGAAAGACGAGACACAGCCATTCACACATACAAGTAGACACACACCAAGCACGATGAATGAGAGCAAGTCTTGTCAAGAAGACGAGACATGGATATATAGTATATACGCATAAACCTCGTGGGAAATTTGCAATCTGCCATAACAAGAATACAGACACCTGGGAAGACGATATGTTTAGTACAGAGCTCAGTGTTGCGTCGCACTAGATGCTGACACAAACGACACAGAACTCCAGGATCTGAACAAACCATAAAAGCATCATCGAACTACCTGCGTAGGACTGCTTCTTCAATGTGCCGTAACCCCCAACGTCCACGATGCACATGAGTCCACACGTACCATTCTTCTCTAGTGTTTATCATAGACTTTTTCAAGTTGCAACTTAGATGTTTGGTGTGATACTGGCCTCAACCATGTTTTTTATGCAATGAGGAAGGAACGCTGTGGACTTTTAAACTATTACCGTACATACCAATTTTGTTGAGACGAGCTGCCAGGGTCAGAGGTGTATCTCCAGATGAGTTCTTGCTACCAGCATTTGCACCGCCCTGCAGGAGTCTCACCATGGTCAGTGGCTGGCCAACTTGCATTTTCTTCACAATGAAGTGAAGCGGTGTCTCCCCGTCCCTGTTGGCAATGTTGGGCTGCAGAGCGTAGCACAAATGCAACATTCTGTACTTCAAAGTACGATCCGGCGCACACTGTTCGGGACACGGGTCACACCCGAGATACCAACCTGATACGCTTGGCTGCGTTCTGGGTGCAGCATACTATGGTACAGGTGTAAAGCATGCACAGCCGGGTGCATCTTGGCTCCAGTTGTACTTGCACCTCAGTAACCAGGCATGCACTGTATACTAAGTAGTCTGGAGAGCTCCAACTGTTGTTCTATTTCTGGAGCTCTTTGCTCAGCAGTGGTGGTTGGCCTGTGAATTTAGTTCCTGTCACCCTGCCCTCACCACTATCTATCTAGAACCAAGACTTCCATCACCAGTCTCATGCCTTGCGGAATACTTACTGGGTGCTGGCATAACTCTTAGCGGCAAGGTTTCAATTGTTCAATTGATCTGTGCTCTACGTTGAGTCACTCACTCTCTTGCCGTTTATCTTCAACTACTCCCTCCCTCCTTCCTTCCCTCCCTCTATCTTGAACCACATTGTTTCACTCACAGCCAGCACATGCATGCCTCTATACTCTGTGGTGTATTGTAAAGACAGATGCCAGATTACCAGTTCTCTAGTTTTTTTTTGTGGCAATTAATCGGGCACTTGCCAGCGAGTATCCAACAGTAACCCACCTTGACTTTGCCCTTGATTAGCGTGTCAACAAAATCCTGCCTGTCATGGAATGCTGCCCAGTGCAGTGCGGTGTTGCTAAACAAATACCCAGACATGAACATATGCACATGCACACACACACACACACGCACACACACACACACACGCGTGCACACACACACACACGCGTGCACGCACGCACACACACACACACACACACACACATACGAGCATACGCAAAAGCATGCCAAAAAACACAGATACCGTCATGATGAGGTTTTGTAATTTCTCCCTCCCCGAGAGAGCTTGAATGAAACTCTCTGGAAGCACAAGACATCGAAGTTATCACAGAAGTGCCAACTTTCATTAGATGAACAGTGCGTGGCTGTCTTGCTGGAGAGCTTACCCGCTCAAGTCCTCCCTGTTTACATCAGCACCGTGCTGGATGAGCAGCAGAGCAAGATCATGATGGCCTGTACGTGCACAGACACATACACACATACACACACACACACACACACACACACACACACACACACATGCACACACACACACACACACACACACACACACACACACACACACACACACACACACACACACACACACACACACACACACACACATACATGCACACACACACATGCACACACACACATGCACACACACACATGCACACACACACACACCACCACCACACACATGCACACACACACACACAAACAGACATGCAGATGCAGACAAACAAACAGATGAAACACACAGTAACTGGAAACACAGTACATGGAATATGCACGGTCGATCACAAGTTCACCGTGTGTGCGTGTGTGTGTTTCATGAACGTTGAAACATATGCTGAGTAAATTGAACATAGGAATACAAGTTATAACTAGAGCCAGTCTAGATACATGCATCATGGCAACGGCCTGGTTTAGCCAGAAGGTCAAAGAACAGAAGAGAGGTTCTGCATTTCGAATTTCGACCAAGAAGCCAAAAACGACTTTAGATTCGACTGCTTCTGTCCGTTCAACTATCCTGAAAGTTTGGCTGCTCCGCCGACTCTTGAACCCAGTAGTCCCGAAACATTCCGAAATTCGAAATGCAGAACCTCTCTAATACCAGGATGGTGGCCAGGTTTCATGACAAACTGATCGTCAACAAAGTACAGTCAAATCTGTCGTCAGCGACCGCCCCTTGGTGCAAGAAAAAGCGGTCTCTTACGGCAGATGGTCTCTTACGGCAGATGTATGGTAAATCCGGCATACCGGGTATATGCTTCCATGTACTCAAATCGACGAGAGTAATGTGATTTTTATATCATTTTATTGGATATTCAACGACGACCATACCCGTATAGTACGCGTATGCGACACGGCAGTAGATATGCCTGGACTTGAGAGCTACAGCACAGCCTCAGTACAGGCCAGGGCCAATCGATCGCACTTGCAAGACAGCGCATTTTCACACCTTGCAGTTGACAGCGCACTGGCAAGTACAGTTTCGCACCTGACTGAACCTGGGTCGCGGTCGCTTACAGCAGATTTGAATGCATCCACCGTGCGTGAAATCGCGGTCGCTGGTCGCGCACAGCAGATGGTCGCTCTGGACAGATCAGTTCGTATGTGAAACCGTCGGTGCACGGAAAATCGGTCGCTAACGGTAGATGGTCGCCTATAGCAGAGGTCGCTAACGGCAGATTTGACTGTACAGAATGCAGCATTCTCTAAAGAATCTTGCAGAGACTCTCGGGTTCAGAAATAGCCCCGATAGTGTTCAACCCAAGCGACAATATATCGCTTCGGTCAGTGCTGGCAACTTCTTCCTTGACTGCCTTTTGCTATGACCTCATCAAGCAGAAATTGAACTCACCGTTCAAGCAGGACAGGATGAGAGGCGTGCTGCCGCATTCTGCACGCACCAGGTTGACGTCGATCACATGGGAGATGTCAATAGTCAGTCGCAGGTTCTTCACGTCCTCTCGTTCGAGGGCTGACGCAGCCTGTGACACTCTCTGCTTCGGGTAGAACAGGCGCTGCACAGGGCATGGTAGTGGCAGAAACAGAAACAGCCACGGTGAAAGCACTAGAAAGGGTTCGGCAAAAAGATGGTTAGCCTTGTCGTTCTGCGTGTCAAATACTTCGAAGGGCAGCAATGAGAAGTTAGAAAGGATCCGGTGGTGAGTGTTTGTATAGGGGCGGCGGAACTGGTCCGGTTGGTCTGGCCATGACCGTACCAACTCTTTGGCTGCCAACGGGTGTTAACTGCTGAGGGGGTTATGTGTACCCGTCTTATCAGGCACAACGTATGAACGGCTGTATGAACGGCTGTGGCATGGCCGCGGTCCTGTAATGTTTGCTGTGATATGCTAGTCACGGTGATGGTGATCAGAGGATCAGTTCAGTGTATTCCAAAGCAACTCTGAAAATCTGCACTGACTTTAACACAACATGGGAAGTTTGCTGCAGTTGCAAAGATCTATGTGCATTTTACGTCTCCACTCATTGTTGATATATTTTCCTGGCGATTTGTCGAGCATTTCTCTGATTTTCAAGCAGCGTATACAGCACAAGATACTAAAACACAACTTGCAGCATGGCATCGTGGCCCTGCAGCTTCAGCTCGGTCGCTTTCCGAGGATGATACAGCAATGTAGCCATGCCTATTTAGCATGTACTCGCACCTCCCTGTGCTCTTTGGAATTCACCAACAAGTACAGCTGTAGGCTGCAGTGTAGGTGACATGATCAGGTCATTTGGGTTTTCCCCCACCAGTATATCCTGATGGCAAAGGTAGCTTCAGGTCTAACTTACTTATGGCTACTTGCAATGTGCTAATGCTGCGCCAGCGTGTTGCATTGTTAGTGTCTTTGAATAGTATGCGTATGATCAAGTGTTTGTTCACCTATATTTTTCCCTTTTTCGTTTTTGGTTTTGCTTTCTTTCTCTTTTTCTCCCCTTCTCTTCTGGTATCATGTCTAACATTGGGTGTGGCCCAAGCGAAGGCTAGGCTAACGCCGATGCCAACGCGAAAGGGCTGATGATGATGATGATGAAAGGTAGCTTCATGAAAGTACAGTGCGTATCGGTTATAGCGTGGTTGTGTAAAAGAATATACCGCCCTACAAGAATGAACTCTCATGTTTTCATAATCATAACATGGGTTTCAAGTGCACTTTTATTCTTACAAGCAATTTTATCGCATAGTAGAATATATCGGTCCTAAGAATGGACTTTGTGTAGCGAAACATGCCAGATTAGTACAAAGTGTATCGCCTGTAGTAATAACATCTGTCCCATGCAGTTCTGATCTGACTCGCGTTGCGTCGTAGTGCTGCAGGCTCAACTGTTGTGGTCATGTAGCTCATGTTGGATAGCCACATGGTAAGCCTATGGGAATATGACCAGCCGCATGCACAGTAGCACTACGTTGCACGTACGATGATCTTCCTGCCCCTGCGCATATGCATACGATATGTCACACTTGATGTATCGGGTGTAAGAAATATCGGAAATGAGAATAGAAAGTCGTTTTTCAAACACCCACGCTATAACCGATACCTACTGTACATGCACAACCACACGTTTGTTGTTTTGTTTCACACATACTATAAAAGCTGAGTAAGTATATTGACTGCATGATGTGAATACTATCCGGAGGAGACTAAGCAGAATCGCTAAAGTCAGAAGATCTAACCCAACTACACGTACAACTGGCCTACAACACTCATCACAACTTGTACAAGTTGTAGGGTCATCACTTCTTGTGGGCAGGCTGGGTCAAACGAAAATACATGTAGTAGCTGGACGCCCCTGTCACAACTAAAGTCCAGACTCTGTCAAGACCAAGAGAGATTTCCAGATACCGTTTCGCTTCAAACCGACGGGATGGACCAGGTAATTGTATATAGCAGTGTTGGAGGAAGTCTTACATGTATGTCACATCTTATTCCAATTCAACTGCAAACAGTACTCCTACCACAAAGTAACAATCCACAGCCTTGGACAAAGCACATACCAGCAACTTTTCCTTGTCACCAGCACCAGGGCCCGTGCCAACGATGTCCAGCAGCTGTTTTTCCTCCTTCTTACCCATGGTTCATACTATTCAGACACCATGAAGAAGTAAACCAAAGCCTCTCGAGTACTACGGTATCCACACAGTTCAAGAGTGGATATAATATGTGGACATTAATTTTGTCATTTGGATACCTGAATATGTCGGACTGCAGGAAAGCTTCCCACATTATCGTACCGCAATGTTTGTTGTCAAGCAACGGTAGTTTTACGCGGTGTAAGTGTGGATCTGGGTGAGCTTTGCTACGACTCGAGTGCAAATCTGGCAGGTAGATATCTAATCTAGGTAATCTAGCCGCGCGCGCCTACGTCTACGATCACGTGCACGCATTTGTGGACATTTTTGCACTTCTTCGCGCACGGCACGAGAAAGAGCGATATGTAGCAAAGCTGGCGGGAAATCCACCAGGCTATGAGTTTCTTGCATGATTGCACGGGATGAAAACGAAGATGTTTGCAGCACATGGATTTTGATAAAGCCAGGAGCCAAAACAGCCAGGTCGAAGTTTCGATCGACGTTTCAATGACCTGCTGTTCGATTTGGCTTTTTATCCATCAGAGTCTGGGCTTGGGCCTGTCCTTGAACTGGGAGAAACACGTGAAATGAAATGCCTGGATACATTACTCACGGGATTTTCGGTCTCAAACAGTCCTCCAAGAATTTCGAGCAGGATTTTATGCGCCAGAGTACCCAATATGACTGTGTGGAGATAGACCTGAACTCGGGCAGTTGGTGGGAGGAAGAGATCGACCGTTGGATCCGCGTCACGCCATCATGCCTTACGTTCAATGTCCGTGTGTGGGATCTGCTGTGCCACAAGGTCAGTACCTGCTCTGGTGCTTGACTGCAGTGAAAATGCACTACAGTCCATTTCAAAACTACGCGTACCAAGGCAAAAACCGTTATGCCAGCATCTATACCACATAAAATCTGTGATCACTTTGTGCATAAATTTTTCCAAATTGGGCGTCTGTTATCCAATCGTTTAGAAACTATACGAAAGTAATTGTGGAGCGATCCTGAGCAATATTCCGAAAACTATTCTCAAAAAGGTCCAGCCAAATTTGAAATATTTCAAAAACCCTACGCGTCTATAATTTTGAAATGGACTGTAGTCTACATACATGTACAGGTACTCAAGGTATATATTTTCACTAAATGATTGGAAGCAGTGTAGCAGTAGGCTAGTTACCTTGTTGTAATCAAGGTAAAAGAAGGGCAGAACTCACCAAATGACCCGCCGGCACACAAAGCCTCTATACACTGCTGGGCGCATCTACCGTATTCTCGGCAATACTGGCCGAGGCGCATAGTAGTTTGCAAGCCCCAAATTATCACCCAATTTGAAAATAGTCCACGGGAAAACCCCGGAAAGAACGTGACGCTTATCTCAGGCATGCTAGGCAGGCAAGGCCCCAGTTTCAGAGTACACGGTAAATACCGACACACGCACAACAAACCTGGCTGCCCCGATTTCCACCCCAGAGCCAACGAAGTAGCCAGCACCAGCCCAGCCGATACTCGGTTTGGCTGGGCTGACCTCCCATTGGTTGGTTTTGAATCCAAGCATCGTTCAAGATGTCCAAGACACCACATTCCTTGCCTAGCTGGTGATATGTTCGGAGGATAGTTCATGCTATTATCCGGATAATCATGCGGGAATGCAGTGCATACATGCAACCTTGGCACATACACATTTAATATCAGTCACCCTGCAGTGAGTGTGTGTACGAGCAAAAGGAACAAGGACAATGAATTAAGTACAGTAGAGAGGTGGTGTCTGATGAGGTGAAGTATGAGTCGTCCATTGCTAGTCATTTGTTGCAGCATCTGGATTGTCGTGCTGTGTGTTCAGATGATTGTTTTTCTTTTTTTGTCGCGTGTGTGCAGTGCTAAGTTTTTGAATGTTTTAGAAGCTGTGTAATTACCGGTATATTCACACAAAGAAAAGACTCCCACCTAGGCTGTTAGGTAGGCCATCAACAACTCGTTAGCTTGGTCCACTTGTAGTCTATTGTTGTCGCATTGTTGTCGCACTGCATTTCATGCTCATTACTAAGTTGTTAGGTTTCCTCACACTTGCACCTTTTGTGATCATTCTTTCTATATGTATGGGGTCACACATTTTGCCGCTGTTGTTTTTGGCTACTCATCTTTGTGCTGTTTTATCACCTCTCTGCTGTACTTCATTCATTGTGCTTGTTCATCTGCTCTTTCCTGTATTTCACTCGAAGAGAAGACTTGAAAGTATACCCATGAAAACTTTCAAAATGTTGCTGTTGAAGAGCCTGAAGTGTGTTCTCCTTCTAAGTAACATGTTCATGATGTTATCTTCCATCCTCAGAGGGTCCAGAGAAGTACCTGCCTGTCCGTGCTGCCCAAGTTAGTTGCCGATCCCCTGCGCAAACTGCCGCCGGATCGCACGTCCTTCCAGTGGGATGACTTGAGCGACCACCTCAAAGACTGCCTCTTCTCCGCACTCAATTCCCTCCTGCAGCGTCTCAAAGCAGCCGATCGCCTGGGACTCGTCCGGTTTGATGTGAGTGTGCACGTATGATTATGGCTGTCCATCGTTGTTTAGAGGAGAGCGGCCGCCATTAGTCGCAAGCTTAGAAATAGTGCCACGCTTTTAAACAGCTTTGTCTTGTCAGCTGCCTAGTTAGAATGGTCGTGTAACATGATGTTGTCTGGCTGAATTGAAATTGTGGTATTTTATTTTGGCCAGTGTTAGTCGTCTCAGCCATGCTATTCTGAGTCCTGATTATGGATGCTGTATTTGCCGGTGGAGCTAATTACATGCATTGTTGAGTAGACAGGGTTTGTGCGGAGTTTGGAAAGTCATGAAACGGTCTTGAATTTGATAATCACAATTCCAGACCTGGAAAAAGTCTATTGACTGGGACAGTACAATATTGTACATTGTAGCCTGTGACTTCACGTAGCCACATGTGTGTGCTCCCCCCCCCCCCACACACACACAATAAAAGAGGACGGCACCAGTGAGATGTGGCTGTAAAAGCTAGATGAGTATGTTATTATCCGTGTTGGTATGTTATACTGGACTTGGCCATAGTGTGTAATGCTCCAGCACGGTCACAGTGCAGGTGAGTATGTAATGCTCCAGCACGGTCACGGGCCAGGTGAGTATGTAATGCTCCAGCACGGTCACGGGCCAGGTGAGTATGTAGCTGGTGTACACTGCTGGAGTGAGGCAACTCCTACTACTAGTATCCTGTGTGTGTGTGTGTGTGTGTGTGTGTGTGTGTGTGTGTGTGTTTGTGTGTGTGTGTGTGTGTGTGTGTGTGTGTGTGTGTGTGTGTGTGTGTGTGTTTCCCCTGTACAGTTGTCCAGTGGCAGTGACTTCAAGCTAGCACCAAGGAACAGGGCGTTCCTACCCGTGTGCCGTGCACGCCTAGGTGCCAACGCCAAGATCGTCGTGTCACTGAGTAGAGAGTGGTTCCGCAGCTGGTCTCTCGGCGCTGGCTTTGCAGTAAACAGTGGCATCTGTAAGGCTGCGCTCAATGCACGTCTTTTTCTATACAATGCAACTTCCCACATCCTGCCTCTGGCGTGTGTGCGCACACGTGTGTGTGTGTGTGCGCGTGTGTGTGTGCGCGCGCGCCGGGAGGGATTGCTTTTCGTTTCAACAAAGAGTTTGAAAATGCACATGTACTTGTACACAGAAGAATCTTTACTAGCGGTCACAGTGCTCATTACACGGCGTGCAGAGCTTCGTACAAACGAAAATCCGGTGGAACAAAACATGGACATGTATTCAGTGCCGTGCAAGCAAAGGATCTACTTGTATGGCCAATCAGCAGGGCAATCTGCTACAATTTAGACTCTCATCAAAGCTACTACTAGGCAATACAAAACATTTAGGTACTAATTTAATCTTTTTTTGCCATTGTCCTCTGAAAAGTCAGTAAGTTTGGACTTTGTGCATTCAATCTTGTCTCTAGTGTTGTGTAGTCCGTGGTGGCACCTAAGAAGCTCAACTGTCTCTTTATTTGTTTCTCCACACTGCTGTACCTCTATGCTCATCCAGGTGTAGTTTATGACTTGCTGGATATAGCGTATCAACCTCCGAATGTGAGTCCACCTTACTTTCTATTCTTTGACACCCTTGATTACTCTACAACCCCAAGTCCAGGGTTTTGTGTGGGGGGGGGGGGGGGAAGCTGCTGAATTTAATGTTCGATTTTCTAGTTTATTTATCCCTCTCACTGGCCCTGATGCATATTGATTGGCCATGACTACGCAGACAGCCTCCCTCCCCCCCCCCCCCCCCCCATGGCACTGCCACTCTACTGCATTGTATTGGTGCCATGCAGCTGACTTACTTTTCTGTGTGTTGCCTGGACTTCTGGCGGGCTTGTCCGTTGCATAAGGTTAAGAATAGGGCTGAAACGATCATTCAATAACTCCTAACGATCAACCAATATCATTTTAACGATCGATATATTGGTTTTATCGATTCTTGTCGGCTCTATCGAACACCGGTTTATAAAGAAATTCTATGATTCCTTTGCTATGCTAGAAATTTGTGGCACCGCACCTGTTGACATCTGTAGATATCTGGCTGGTTTTATGCAGCATGAACTACTCAAGTAGAGAATTTCATGTTGTTTCTTGAGCGAAGAATCTTGTCATCACCCTCTGGCAGCTGCTCTCATCTCCAACTTCTCCCACAAATAAACCGAAAAGACTTCTTCTCTCCCAATCTCTTTCAAAGCCACAAATCAATTTTACTGCGCTTGAAAGTACATGATTGCACTCGTATTCCACTATCGGATGGAGTGCAAGGGCTAGAATACTGTCACTGATATGCATGCATAAAAATCGTTAGTACTCGTTTTGAACACTAACGATTATCGATCGCACTCTTAACGATCGATATGCGAGTTATCGGTATAATTGTTTCAGCCCTAGGCTATGATCGTTTGGTCGGATCCAGATCCAGATCCAAATCTCAGATCCGTCGGATCCTTCAGAATCAACCGAACACTTTTTTGCGGACCTTGGCTGTTGCCATGTTGACGAAGTAAAAAATGGCGCTGACAGGTCACCCAAAAAAGGCAAAAGTCGTACTGATCGCGCGCGTCGTACGAAAAGTCCACTAGACGTACGACAATGAGTAGAAAAATGATTTTTACCTGCCATATACGCACAAAGGTCACATTTGGATCCGATGGATCCAGTCAACCCTGCTCCCGGGGCAGGGTTGCTCGGATCCAAATCCAGAGGATCTGGATCCGGATTCGACCAATCGATCATTGCAGATCCAGTGGATCCAATGGATCTGGATCTGGATCAGACCAAACGATCACGGCCCTAGTTAAGAAACTGGTCTGTGAGATTGTCTTTCTCGCGACCAGCCATTGCTTTTGTGTTGTTTTATGTGCAGGGCTATCCATGGCGGAGAACGACCGGCCCGTTTCTCTACTTTGCTGTTGGTCACGTGCAGTCTGATGCTCGGCGACAAGAACTGTGAGTCACACGCTGACATCTTGTGTCCGGCTCGGCATGTGCTGCACCGCATGCGCCTTAGCGCATTTCTTCACGTGGCAGTGTAGTGCAAGAGTTGGATTTCATTGGCCTCGATGGTACAGTCAAACCTCGTTAGGACGAACACTGATAAGGCGAACTTTCCATTAGTACGAACTCGGGCCAATCCTATGGTTGGCCAGGCATCAATTCAAGTCAAAATTATTCGTTTACGACGAACTTCTGTACAGCGAACTTTCGCAAAGACGAACGATTTTCAAGTGTGATTTGAACAAAATCAGTGTGGTAATGTACATGTAGTACGAACTTTCGGTCCACGAGGGTGCGCTGGCGCCGGCATGGCTGCCTTTTTTTCTTCTTTTTTGTCAATTGTCGAAGCCATATCGTACGTACGTACAGTGCAGTGCGAATTTCTTTCAAGCATGTTTTGAACAAATAATCAGTGCGTTGTACGAACTTTCAGCACAGTCATGATTCATTGCATATTGCCATTGTACTTACCTGTTTCTGGCTTATGCTAAGAATACAATGCTTCCCATGTACAACAGCATGCACCTTCACGTAAATACAGTCCATATGATATGCATATCGATTTTTTTGTCAGATCTGGATAAGAAGAACTCCCGATAAGACAAACAAATTTGTTCGGTCCCTTGAAGTTTGTCCTAACGAGGTTTGACTGTAGTTGGTCTGCGGCGTCATGAACTCTGTGCGTGTCTGCATGCCCCCGCACCAGTACCTGTCCGAGGTGGGGAGGTGGGGAGGTGGGGAGGTGGGTGGTATTGGGAGTACAGGGCGTATCATCTCATTGCGCGGCCGCTGGTCCTTGTTTGTTCTGGACACTCGCCCTGCTTGCTGTACAGCTGCAAACACATTGAGGCGCTGCGGGCAGGTGCCAAGAAGCCGGTGTACATCATGTTTGACAGCAGTGTGTATGATCAGGTGAGTGTACATCATAGTCTCCTGGTGCTAGAGAGTACTGTAGGAGTTGAATCTCGAACGGGGCACAAAGTCTAGCGTTTTAACAAGAACAAATCCATCGTTAACTTCAGAAACGTTACACGTATGTTATTCCTTGTCTCCTCTGTACTGGAGAAATAGAAGACAAGTGTGTGCTGGCAGGGTCGTTGAACTTTGTGCCAGCTATGTGGGAAATGTTTGCAAACCGTTAAACTTTAGACTCGTCACACTTTCAACTCTTTCTACTAAGTTACTATTCATGTCAAACCCCAGATCATCCTGACTCGGCACACATCCATGATCTGTGTACACGTACGCGCAGAAAGGCCAGCTACCTATGCACTACGGGCTGGTCACTGTGAACACGTGGGCAATATGGTGTAGTGCAGTGCTGCAGCAGGGGACACAGAGCATGCACAAGAAAAGTGGACTTCTGGTCAAAACAAAAAAGGGTTGCTGTTATCACATGAAGACTAGTGCTGCACGGTATGTACAGTCCATTTCAAAACTATAGACGCGTACCTAGGCAAAAACCGTTATGCCAGCATCTATACCACATAAAATCTGTGATCACTTTGTGCATAAATTTTTCCAAATTGGGCGTCTGTTATCCAATCGTCTAGAAACTATATGAGAGTAATTGTGGAGCGGTCCTGAGCAATATTCCGAAAACTATTCTCAAAAAGTTCCAGCCAAATTTGAAATATTTCAAAAACCCTCCGCGTCTATAGTTTTGAAATGGACTGTAGCACTACATGTACATGCTGGGTTGTGCTTTCACCTTGAACCCACTGGCAGTGTCGAACACAAGCGTGGTGATTTCGAGGTGCAACCCAAGGAACTAACTCCCTTGGAGGTCAGCCCTACGTGCATGCCCCGTGTAATGATACGAAAACTGTGCATTGCCTATGCTGCTCAGCCTCAGCCACAGTTTCGATGGATATGTCCAGGGTTTCTGTGGGAGCGATCGGAGACCACTTAACAATGTACGTGGTGTCTACCTGTGCCTTGTCTGTAGAAAAAGCCGCACCATGAGGCCATGCTGTCAATGATGAGCTGCACCGCCGAAGAGTTTGAGAGGAAGAAGGAGCTGAGTGCCCTGATCAGCACGGGACCACGCCAGAAAAAGGGACAACAGAAGCACCAGCGGCCGCATGTACCGCCGCCGTCTAGAGCACCAGCGAATACTGCTGCTGTCGCTGGTACTGCCGCTGTCGCTAGTACTACTGCACCTAATCCTGCAGCGGGGAAAAATATCAAAAAGGTGAAGCAGGGCAAGCCTGTGGCAGTAATCGACGAAGACTTGAAAGGTGACCGTCTGGAGCAGGTGAAGAGCATCGGGGAATCCCCTGACGCCTCCTTCACTTGCAACTGTGGCCTGCTCAGCTGCTCCAGGTCGGAGGCAACTGCCAAGTGGCAGCTCAGTGTGTCCAAGAAGACGGAGCGCGTGGCGGCAACGAATCTGAACGATGCGTGTGCTTGTAACATGATCAGCTGCTCTTCGTGCATGGCTGCACTACTCTCTCAGCCACCTCTGGCGGACACGTCGTCCAAACAGTCCAATAGTACCACAGAGAAAAAGAAAATCCGAAAGCGGGCCCGCTCCGATGACAGTGACGAGGACTGGCTGGACGGTGAAGAAGCGCGTACTGCCCTCACAGTGGGTGTTCTGAGCGACTCAGATGATGACGGTGGTCACATGTCTGATTACGATTACGATGAGGCCAGCTATACAGCTACTACCGTCAATCTTGATAAGTACTATGCGCTGTCCATGGAGGAGCGCGAGGGCAGGTTTTACCAAGCAATGAACGAGGACATGAGTCTCGGTAATATTCGGCACATCTACACGGTAGCTATGGAGCATATCTACGCACACTTTGACATCAACAGCACGGCGCCAGACTTGACCGCAGAGGAGCGAGAATATCTCTTCTGGAGTCGCCATCGCTTTGCTCTGGAAGCGGACAAATCCACAGACGACACATTGGTCAGCTCGTCCAGTAGGAATGAGCCTCCTGCGCACAAGTATGTACCACCCCCTGTGCCAGGCCAGAGGAAGAAAGGTCGGCCGCCGAAAAGCCTTACGTCGAACCTTGACAGTGCGGCCAGCAGCAAATCCTCCAACACAGGAAGTGAGCAAGCAAAGGCGCCACCCGTAGGTAGTGACCAGTCTAAGGCATCGGCAAGCCCCTGGGAAAGCTACTGCGATCAGTTTGGCACTAGCAACACCAGTAATGACACGTCGGACACCATGAGCAAGACACTGACACGGTTAAAAGAGGAACTGAAGACACGGCAGCCTAGTAGCAATGCCGGTAGCTTGGCGTTGTCCACTGCCAAGGTGCGGGCGCCTATCGTCACACCACTGTCCGGAGTGAATGGTATACCTATTTCACCTACCCGCAACCCTGTCACCTACACCACCGCCGCCACCACGGCTGGGATGAGTTCTCCGGACTCCCCGCTGCCGTCGTCCGGTATAGCCGTAAAAGCGCCCGCCCGCCTGGTTAAAAAGGGCCCTCTCTTCCCAACGTCCTCAGATGCATCTGCCACATCTAGTAACTCAGCTACTGTTGCTGCTGCAGCAGCGAAAGGCAAAGTTACTGCGGGCGGCAACGTCAAGGCAAAAACAGCGCCCATCGGCAAAGTGCCCGCAAACAAACCTGCAGCTGCAGACTCTAAAGCACGTTCAGTCGCTGCAGGCAACAGTATCGGAAAAACAGCTCCAGCAGGCGACAGCGGCGTAAAGACTTCAGCCAGCACAGGTTCTGCAGCTGCAGGCAGGGTGATGCCGCCACTGCCACAATTGGACATTTCGTCCGCCGACATTGTCTCGAGTGCAATTCTCAGCGGCCCAACCGTAACTACTATGCCCCTGCAGGTGTCTAGTGCAGCAGTCAGCACGGTGGTCCACAGCAACACTCGGAGCAATACCAGCAGCAGCAGCGCACTGGCTGCAGCAAAACCCAGTGCCGTTACCCGCGGCAACCCAGCCATGCCTGAAGGCACGCTTGAGAAGCCAACACAGGGCGGTGCAGTGGAGAAATTAAGTGCCCCGACTACTCCAACTCCTACACAAGGACTTAGCACGGAGAAGACTGAAAAGGTCAAATCTCCCCAGCCACTCATCACCCAATTCTTCAAGGCACCTCCCCGCCCTGAGCCGCCG